TACAGAAAACGTTTGACCTGTGTCATAGCCAACAAAGGGTATATAACAAAGTATTGAGAAACTTTTGTTATTGACCAAATACTTATTTTCCACCATAATTTGCTAATAAATTCATTAAAAATCCTACAATGTGATTTTCTGGATTTTTTTTCTCATTTTGTCTGTCATAGTTGACATGAAAATTACAGGCCTCTCTCATCTTTTTAAGTGGGAGAACTTGCACAATTGGTGGCTGACTAAATACTTTTTTCCCCCACTGTATATTTGACTATCATCAGATGATGACAATAAAATTGTGTTTGGCTCAGTATAATTACTCTTGTAGACTTGTGCAGCAAACCAGCTTAGAATGAAGAGTATTCAAAGACAAAGGTTAACAATAACAGCCATCACTAATATGACTCCCACCAGAAAACCACTGTACACAACAGATGAAAAGACAATGGCAAATTAACTTAATGACTTCTACATAAAGTTTGACATCACTTCTCTGCCAAGTGTGTTAACATGCTCAACACCAGCCTGGGACACTGTCTTTTAGATATATGTACATTCCCACACGGTTCCACCTCGGTGGAAGAAGGCAATCATCACCCCTCTTCCCCAAAAGCCTTCTCCCAAAGAAAACAAAGACTGTAGACCTGTTGCGCTGACCTCCATTGTAATGAAGTGTCTTGAAAAGATCATGGTGTGTAAGCTTCAATCAGACTAAACACACTGTTGGACCCATATCAGTTTGCTTACAAATACAAACGTGGCGCTGATGAAGCAATCCTCAGTATAGTGCATCTCATCCTGCAACATCTGGAGAACCCCAAGGCCTATCTATGCTCGACTGCTATTTGTGGACTTTAGTTCAGCATTTAACGTCAAACTTTTATTTTCATATATAGGCTATAAGTGAGGTGTTTGTTGTGTGTTTTGTTAACATTCAAATGGCACAGTATGATTCTCTATCTAGAATAGAGTGCCTTTTAGCACACACAGTCTTGGTTCACACGGTGGGGAACTGACCAATTCAAACGTCTTAAGAAACTAAAAACAAACCTTTTAACCAATTACAGGGCGCTGTTGTAATGCCTATGCTGTTGACACGCCCACTTCTAGACATCACGTATGCATTTACCCATACTTGGAGCTAGCCAGCAAGTTATCTAGATACATACGCTAACTGTGCAAGGCAAGCAGTCGTATGTATAATAGAGTAGCGTTGTACAACTTCAGATAAGTAATAGAATAGGCGTTAACGGGAGAAAGAGGAGCAGGATTGAGGAGGAGAGACAGGTAGGCCTATGTTGTGGCTATGGCCAGTTTACGTAACAAACTAATTCCTGTCCCCTCTTGTCTTAGTACCATTTCACTTTTAGCTAATAAGAGATGCACCCATGGAGGTGAATGGGAGGAGGAAAGGACTGAGAGAGCAGGGATCAGGCACGTGCACAGATGGAGGACTTTCTGTGCACCTGCCCTTTTGCCCTCATATAAAAAAGTACCCTTTCAGATTGGTGGCGTTTAATTATAACGTTTTTATTGAACTTTGTCTATTTTCTCTGTTGTTATTTAAATGAGTTGACTATCAAATTAGCTCATTTATCATTTTTGAATGTTGGTAACTCCCCCCTCCTCTGCCCCAACGCGAGCGCGTACTGTACTTGTCCTTATTACTCGTCCTGCAGGCAGAGGCTATCGGCGCTGAACGGTAGTGTAGGCTAGTAGGGGCTCCCTTTTGAGTTGCATGTGCCATCTCACGGCCAGGAACAGGGAAGGCTTCAATTCGACTGTTTGTTAGTAGTCCTAAGAGGCAGATGTCTGCAGCAGGAAAAACTCCAATCACAGGTAAATACTAGTTAGATTGTTCAACAGAATAGCTACCTAGCAAGCTAATTAGCTGCTTTCCATACTTCTACACTGAACTAAATTATAAACGCAACATGTAAAGTGTTGGTCCCATGTTTCATAAGCTGAAATAAAAGATCACAGACATTTTCCATAAGCACAAAAAGCTTATTTCTCTCCAATTTTGTGCAGAAATATGTTTAGCGAGCATTTCTCCTTTGCCAAGATAATCCTGACAGGTGTGGTATATCAAGAAGCTGATTAAACAGCATGATCATTACACAGGTGCAACTTGTGCTGGGGACAATTAAAGGCCACTTTAAAATGTGCAGTTTTGTCACACAACACAATGTCACAGATGTCAAAAATTTTGAGGGAGCATGCAATTGGCATGCTGACTGCAGGAATGTCCACCTGACTGCAGGAATGTCTACCAGAGCTGTTGCCAGAGAATTGAATGTTCATTTCTCTACCATAAGCCGCCGCCAATGTTGTTTTAGAGAATTTGGCAGTACGTCCAACTGGCCTCACAACCGCAGAACACGTGTAACCACGCCAGCCCTGGACCTCCACATCCTGCTTCTTCACCTGTGGGATCGTCTGAGACCAACCACCCAGACAGCTGATGAAACTGTGGGTTTGCACAACCGAAGAATTTGTGCACAAACTGTCAGAAATGGTCTCTCAGGGAAGCTCATCTGCGTGCTCGTCATCCTTACCAGGGTCTTGACCTGACTGCAGTTCGGCATCGTAACCGACTTCAGTGGGCAAATGCTCACCTACGATGGCCATTGGCATGCTTGAAAAGTGTGCTCTTTACGGATTAAACCCAGTTTCAACTGTACTGGGCAGATGGCAGTATGGTGTCATGTGGGCGAGCGGTTTGTTGATGTCAATGTTGGAAACAAAGTGCCTCATGGTGGCGGTGGGGTTATGGCATGGGCAGGCATAAGCTACGGGCAACCAAAAAAATAGCATTTTATCGATGGCAATTGGAATGCACAGAGATACTGTGACTAGATCCTGAGGCCCATTGTCGTGACATTCATCCGCCGCCATCACCTCATGTTTCAGCATGATAATGCGCAGCCCCATGTTGCAGGGATCTGTACACAATTCCTGGAAGCTGAAAATGTCCCAGTTCTTCCATGGCCTGCATACTCACCAGACATGCCACCCATTGAGCATGTTTGGGATGCTCTGGATGTACGACAGCATGTTCCAGTTCCCGCCAATATCCAGCAACTTCGCACAGCCATTGAAGAGGAGTGGGACAACATTCCATAGGCCACAATCAACAGCCTGATCAACTCTATGCGAAGGAGATGTGTTGTGCTGCATGAGGCAAATGGTGGTCACACCAGATACCGACTGGTTTTCTGATCCACACCCCTACCTTGTTCTTTAAGGTATCTGTGACCAACAGATGCATATCTGTATTCCCATTCATGTGAAATCCATAGGTTAGGGCGTAATGAATTTATTTCAATTGACTGATTTCCTTATATGAACTGTAACTCAAATATCTTTGAAATTGTTGCATGTTGCGTTTATATTTTTGTTCAGTGTACATTCACTATGATCAGCTGATAGCCCACCCCTCTTAGCCCTCTCTTTGAGCATTAAGTTAGGCTATACGATTGCTAGAAAGGAGAGTTGATTCAGGATGTGAGAAAAGTCAGTAATAAGGAAGTGAGGGTAGAGCGGGAGAGACAAAGGTGGAAGGGTTGAAGGAGAGAGGCAGAGGGAGGATGAGTCATTGTAGCTATGGGCTCAGGTTGATAGATGGTTGACTGGGGGAGTAAATTAGACAAAGGTGGACTGGGGGAGTAAATTAGTTTTTGGGGAGAGGTGTATGTATGTGTTAAGGCCTTAGCTGTAATTGGAGTGATAAAGCACATTCTGTGCATTTCAATCACAATGCTCTTCTGTTTGTTTTGTGCGGTGGCCAGCACAGCACTGTTATGTATTCATAAAGCGTGTGTGCATGCTTACGTGTGTTTGTGCTAATAAAGCATATGCTTGTGCGTCAAGCTAGATTGGCTTCTAGGGTTACTATGGTTATAGCTTCACCCTAGAATAACCCTTGTTCCCATGGAAAAGTCTTCATGACAGGGTGCGTGTGCGTGCGATGCTTTCAGGTGTGTTATCAGCTCCAGAGGATGACTGGGTTGGTCACATGCTCAGGCTCTCAGCTCTCTCCTATTATGGAAGTCAGGCCTTAATATGTGATACTGAGAGGCAGGGGGAGATGTCAGTGATACTAAGAGAGAGAGAGAGAGATGTTAGATGCGTCAGTGCACTCACTCATACTGTTTCTCTTGACTGTTGTCTTGTTTGCCAGTGAGTCTGTGTAATCTGTAATCTGTCTCTGTGAACACCATTTTTCTATTGACAACAGATGAACAGGAAGGCATACATGTGTAATAAAAATCGAATAGTAATGGCAGTTAAGACCAGAAACAGCCTCTTGTGTTTGGGCACCGCTGTTTCAGCATGTGAGCTAACATAATCAAAGTGTTTACGGTAATGAAGCTGGTTTTAGACAGAAAAAAGTTTAACTCATTAGAAACTTGTTAAATACATATCAGTGTGTTAGAGGTCTTCACAGATCGAAAAAGTTGGACCCGAGGACAATCAGAACCGACCCGAATGTACCCATAAAAAAAAAAAGGGGACCCGAACAGATCCGATAACAATCAGACTCGAACCCGAATGGATCCGAGGACAAATCCACCCAGAACCGACCCGTACCCTCACGAGTGTGGGTCGAAACCAGACCCGATTGGACCTGAGTGGATAATGAATAGGTCTTTATATGTTGGCTAGGCCTTCTATAAGTCAATAAATTCACCTTATTAGAGTAAAATAAATATGGTATAGGCTATGCAGAGCCTTGGTCAGGTCCACTCGGGTCTATCAGCTGTAATTACATAAACCCGAGACCCGATGACAATCAAATAGGACCCAGCTCGGACCCAAGGGACAAGTTAGAATTTCAGAGACAAACCCGATCGGTTCGGGTCTCGGGTATATCGGGTCCACCCAGACCCGTGAAGAGCTCTACAGTGTATATGTGTGAAGTAAACCTGCTCTTACCCTGCCCTCCTCTTTGTGTCTGTAGGTCCCTGAGAGAGTGACAGACGCCTGTGGAACGAACCACCATGGTACAAGAGAGTGGGGGTGGCTTTACTGAAGCCCTCATCCCCCAGGCCACTCAACAGAAGAGACCAGCAGTAAGATCACCCTTTTGCCTACAGTACACCCACCTACCTAACCTGCTACCACCCCACCAAGGTTTCCGTTAGGAAAATGTGTCGCCGGACATTTGACCGGCAGCATTTTAATTAACCGGACATTTGAGAAATTTACCAGACCCATATGCATTGGGTATGTAACCTGATTAGGGCATCCAACCACAGGTGCTCAGAATGACAAATCACATTTTGTTTATGGTAATTAAATATTAACAGAACAAGTCCAGGATGCAACGATGTGCGGTCCTTCTTACCGAATTCTGATGCGCACTTTGAAGATGTTCGAATAACTGTCCACATTTACTTTTCCTCATCCAACAAGACGAGTAACGAATAGAAAAATCACTAGCCTATGTCAAACTGCTATACCCCATAGTAGAAAAGTTTACCTATTCTATTGGTCAGCTTGTCGAGAAATAAATAGCCTATTCCAAACAGACTCTGGGACAGTTGTGGGACGATAGATCCCAAATTCATACAACCAGTAGGCCTAGGCTACATAAAAACAACAACCTTTAAAAAGCAGTGAGTCTGATACAACAGATCAGAACATTTAGCTTAAAATGTTGATAAACTATTATTTCTTCACATTATAAGGGCAGCAATGAGCACAAGGCAGTAGGCTATGCGTGGACGTTCGTTCCACAATGCAATTAGCGGGAAAACACCTGTTGTCAAAAGGGCACCACACATGTGAGCGGTTTCATGTGACAGAGATGAAAATATTCTTTAGACATTTAGAAAGAGGGGAGATTTAATATGCAACAACTAGCATGGGTTGCTAATATGACTAGGATTGTGCCTTTGGCTACTGGACAATGAAAGAAAGTTTATATAAAATAATTGCCTCCACGGATATGGTCTGATTTTGGCTAGGCTACTTTGAAGCAAGTTAAGACATGCCTCATAATATGTAGTAAAACGTTCAGGTTTCAACAATTAAGTAGGCTATGTTTTCAAAATGCATACTGCCTCCATCTCATTGAAAGTGGTGTGTGACGCGCTGATGAAGCCTGCCTTCCGTTGCCTATGCATTTGCTGTTTGAGATGCAGTAGGAGCAGCAGCTCTCGTGCTCTCAGATTTCCCCCTCAAAGGCTCTGTATCTGTAAGCTGTACGCATGTGATAAATAAGATGCATAACAAATATACTGTACACACGCCAAATTTAATTCCATTAAATTATGCAAATTGACCTATAGACCAGGAGATACCCTTCTATTTATGGAAAAATTACACTGATTAACTCCTTAGTCATATCTCAGTTTACCTACTTACTTATGGCGCTGCCTACTCCTGATGATTGATTTTTCAAATCATATGAGCAAAAATATTTCGCTTTATCTGGGATGCTAAACCAGACAAGATAAAGCGTTCGTAAAGTATTCAGACCCCTTGACTTTTTCCACATTTTGTTACGTTACAGCCTTATTCTAAAATTGATTAAATTAATTTTTCCCTCATTAATCTACACACAATACCCCATAATGACAAAGTGAAAACAGGTTTTTATAAATATTCGCTAATTTATCAAAAATAAAAAACAGAAATACCTTATTTAAGTATTCAGACCCTTCGCTATGAGACTCAAAATGAGCTCAGGTGCATCCTGTTTCCATTGATCATCCTTGAGAGTCCACCTGTGGGAAATTCAATTGATTGGACATTATTTGGAAAGGCACACACCTGTGTATATAAGGACCCACAGTTGACAGTGCATGTCAGAGCAAAAACCAAGCCATGAGGTCGAAGGAGTTGTCCGTAGAGCTCCGAGACAGGATTGTGTCGAGACAAGATTCTCTGGTCTGATGAAACCAAGATTGAACTCTTTGGCCTTAATGCCAAGCATCAAGTCTGGAGGAAACCTGGCACCATCCCTACGGTGAAGCATGGTGGTGGCAGCATCATGCTGTGGGGATTTATTTCAGCGGCAGGGACTGGGAGACTAGTCAGGATCGAGGGGAAAGATGAATGGAGAAAAGTACAGCGAGATCCTTGATGGAAACCTGCTCCAGTGCGCTCAGAACCTCAGACTGGGGCGAAGGTTCACATTCCAACAGGACAATGACCCTAAGCACACAGCCAAGACAAAGCAGGAGTGGCTTCGGGACAAGTCTCTGAATGTCCTTGAGTGGCCCAGCCAGAGCCGGGACTTGAACCCGATCTAACATCTCTGGAGAGACCTGAAAATAGCTGTGCAGCGACGCTCCCCATCCTACCTGACAGAGCTTGAGAGGATCTGCAGAGATGTGACCGTTCCTGGTGCAAAAACAATGTCCTATCCCGGAGCTCGAGTAAATGACATTACTAAGCTGCTCCCAAATGTACTACGTCAGGACATGGAAATCGATTCTATCGGATTCCATGTGGGTTTTAATGACATTATGAAGGGCATCTCTGAACAGTTGAAACTGGATTTTAAAGAGCTGATTGACTCTCTGCTAGACACTAACAAAATACCCATCATATCTGGCCCTGTGCCCTCTCTGAATCGTGGCATTGAACGCTTTAGCAGGATTCTTTCTCTTCACAACTGGCTACGTGATTATTGCAGCTCAATGGGTTTAACTTTTGTTGACAATTTCGATACCTTTTGGAAACAAAACACGTTTTATAAGGAGGATGGGATCCACCCAAATCATTTGGGTTCCTGGATCCTTTCACAGCATTATAAGGCTGTGTTGAGACAATGACTTATCAATAACCCAAGCCCAACTCAGCTAATCCCTACCATTGTGACGCAGAGTTGTCATAATGCTTCAGCAAATGTACATTACACCAGGGGCGTCGGTAGACACAATATAAGTAACCTAATTTATGTCCCTCTAACTGGCCTGGATGCCTCTGCTGATCCTACAGCTATTGTATGCAGTAATCATGTGCATATGAACCAGATTTATACTGTTAGCACTGAGCCGGTGTGCCCTAGGAGGAGGTCCACTGTGTGCAGCTCACCCTGCACTAACATAAATAACATGAGCACATCTACTGCTGCTTAGCTTCACAGTAAAGCAATAAAAACAAGTAAGCATCCAGAAGAAAAGTGCTCAAAATAGCCCACGTTAACATACAGTCATGGCCAAAATTGTTGGCACCCCTGAAATTTTTCCAGAAAATGAAGTATTTCTCACAGAAAAGTATTGAAATTACACATGTTTTGCTATGCACATGTTTATTTCCTTTGTGTGTATTGGAATAACACAAAAAAAAACAGGAAAAAAGCAAATTTGACATAATTTCACACAAAACTAAATAAATGGGCCGGACAAAGTTATTGGCACCCTTTCAAAATTGTGGATAAATAAGTTTGTTCCAAGCATGTGATGCTCCTTTAAACTCACCTGGGGCAAGTAACAGGTGTGGGCAATCTAAAAATCACACCTGAAAGCAGATAAAAAGGAGAGAAGTTGACTCAGTCTTTGCATTGTGTTTCTGTGTGTGCCACACTAAGCATGGAGAACAGAAAGAGGGAAAGAGAACTGTCTGAGGACTTGAGAACCAAAATTGTGGAAAAATATCAACAATCTCAAGGTTACAAGTCCATCTCCAGAGATCTAGATGTTCCTTTGTCCACAGTGCGCAACATGATCAAGAAGTTTGCAACCCATGGCACTGTAGCTAATCTCCCTGGACGTGGACGGAAGAGAAAAATTGATGAAAGGTTGCAACGCAGGATAGTCCGGATGGTGGATAAGCAGCCCCAAACAAGTTCCAAAGAAATTCAAGCTGTCCTGCAGGCTCAGGGTGCATCAGTGTCAGCGCGAACTATACGTCGAAATTTGAATGAAATGAAACGCTATGGCAGGAGACCCAGGAGGACCCCACTGCTGACACAGAGACATAAAAAAGCAAGACTACAGTTTGCCAAAATGTACATGAGTAAGCCAAATTCCTTCTGGGAGAACGTCTTATGGACAGATGAGACCAAGATAGAGCTTTTTGGTAAAGCACATCGTTCTACTGTTTACCGAAAATGTAATGAAGCCTTCAAAGAAAAGAACACAGTACCTACAGTCAAATATGGTGGAGGTTCAAAGATGTTTTTGGGGTTGTTTTGCTGCCTCTGGCACTGGGTGCCTTGACTGTGTGCAAGGCATCATGAAATCTGAGGATTACCAAAGGATTTTGGGTCGCAATGTAGGGCCCAGTGTCAGAAAGCTGGGTTTGCGTCCGAGATCATGGGTCTTCCAGCAGGACAATGACCCCAAACATACTTCAAAAAGCACCCAGAAATGGATGGCAACAAAGCGCTGGAGAGTTCTGAAGTGGCCAGCAATGAGTCCAGATCTTAATCCCATTGAACACCTGTGGAGAGATCTTAAAATTGCTGTTGGGAAAAGGCACCCATCCAATATGAGAGACCTGGAGCAGTTTGCAAAAGAAGAGTGGTCCAAAATTCCGGGTGAGAGGTGTAAGAAGCTTATTGATGGTTATAGGAAGCGACTGATTTCAGTTATTTTTTCCAAAGGGTGTGCAACTAAATATTAAGTTAAGGGTGCCAATCATTTTGTCCGGCCCATTTTTTGAGTTTTGTGTGAAATTATGTCAAATTTGCTTTTTTCCTGTTTTTTTTGTGTTATTCCAATACACACAAAGGAAATAAACATGTGCATAGCAAAACATGTGTAATTTCAATACTTTTCTGTGAGAAATACTTCATTTTCTGGAAAAATTTCAGGGGTGCCAACAATTTTGGCCATGACTGTATGTAGCTTAAGAAACAAGGTTCATGAAATCAATAATTTGCTAGTAACAGATGACATTCCTATTCTGACTATCTCTGAAACTCACTTAGATAATACCTTTGATGATACAGTGGTAGCAGTACAAGGTTATAACATTTACAGAAAATATAGAAATGCCAATCTGCCTCACATAAAGCCCATTCTGGTGGGAAGCTGCTATAGACCACCAAGTGCTAACAGTCAGTATCTGGATAACGTGTGAAATGCTTGATAATGTATGTGATATCAACAGAGAGGTATATTTTCTGGGTGATTTAAATATTGACTGTCTTTCATCAAGCTGCCCACTCAAGAAAAAGCTTCAAACTGTAACTAGTGCCTGCAACCTGGTTCAGGTTATCAGTCAACCTACCAGGGTAGTTACAAACAGCACAGGAATGAAATCATCAACATGTATTGATCACATCTTTACTAATGCTGCAGAAATTAGCTTGAAAGCAGTATCCAGATCCATCGGATGTAGTCATCACAATATAGTAGCCATATCTAGGAAAACCAAAGTTCCAAAGGCTGGGCCTAATATAGTGTATAAGAGTTCATACAATACGTTTTGTAGTGATTCCTATGTTGTTGATGTAAAGAATATTTGTTGGTCCGTGGTGTGTAATGAGGAGCAAACAGACACTGCACTTGACACATTTATGAAATTGCTTATTACAGTTACTAATAAGCATGCACCCATTAAGAAAATGACTGTAAAAACTGTTAAATCCCCTTGGATTGATGAGGAATTGAAAAATTGTATGGTTTAGAGGGATGAGGCAAAAGGAATGGCATTTAAGTCTGGCTGCACAACCGATTGGAAAACGTATTGCAAATTGAGAAATCATGTGACTAAACTGAATAAAAAGAAGAAGAAACTACACTATGAAACAAAGATAAATGACATAAAGAATTATAGTAAAAAGCTTTGGAGCACCTTAAATGAAATGTTGGGAAAAAAGGCAAAGTCAGCTCCATCATTCATTGAATCAGATGGCACATTCATCACAAAACCAACTGATATTGCCAACTACTTGAATGATTTTTTTCATTGGCAAGATTAGCAAACTTAGGCATGACATGCCAGCAACAAATGCTGACATCACACATCCAAGTATGTCTGACCAAATTATGAAGAACAAGCATTGTAATTTTGAATTCCGTAAAGGCAGTGTGGAAGAGGTGAAAAAAGTATTGTTGTCTATCAACAATGACAAGCCACCGGGGTCTGACAACTTGGATGGAAAATTACTGAGGATAATAGCAGACGATATTGCCACTCCTATTTGCCATATTTTAAATTTTAGCCTACTAGAATGTGTGTGCCCCCGGGCTTGGAGGGAAGCAAAAGTCATTCCGCTACCTAAGAATAGTAAAGCCCCTTTACTGGCTCAAATAGCCGACCAATCAGCCTGTTACCAACCCTCAGTAAACTTTTAGAAAAAATTGTGTTTGACCAGATACAATGCTATTTTACAGTAAACAAATTGACAACAAACTTTCAGCATGCTTATAGGGAAGGACATTCAACAAGCACAGCACTTACACAAATGACTGATGATTGGCTGAGAGAAATTGATGATAAAAAGATTTTGGAGGCTCTTTTGTTAGACTTCAGTGCGGCTTTTGACGTTATCGATCATAGTCTTCTGCTGGAAAAACGTATGTGTTATGGCTTTACATCCCCTGCTATATTGTGGATAAAGAGTTACCTGTCTAACAGAACACAGACGGTGTTCTTTAATGGAAGCCTCTCCAACATAATCCAGGTAGAATCAGGAATTCCCCAGGGCAGCTGTCTAGGCCCATTACTTTTTTCAATCTTTACTAATGACATGCCACTGTGTCTATGTATGCAGATGACTCAACACTACACATGTCAGATACTACAGCAACTGAAATGACTTAACAAAGAGTTGCAGTTAGTTTCAGAGTGGGTGGCAAGGAATAAGTTAGTCCTACATATTTCTAAAACTAAAAGCATTGTATTTGGGACAAATCATTCACTAAACCCTAAACCTCAACTAAATCTTGTAATGAATAATGTGGAAATTGAGCAAGTTCAGGTGACTAAACTGCTTGGAGTAACCCTGGATTGTAAACTGTCATGGTAGTGATGGCACCGGAGGGGATGGCTGCCGTTTTATGGACTCTTAACCAACCGTGCAATTTTGTGTGTTTTTTTTTATCTAAAGAAGTCTCAAGGTTTTGCTCGCCTGAGGTAGAGTATCTCATGATAAGCTGTAGACCACACTATCTACCAAGAGAGTTTTCATCTATATTCTTCATAGCTGTCTATTTACCACCACAAACCGATGCATGGCACCAAAACCCAATCAATGAACTGCATACGGCCATAAGCAAACAGGAAAACGCTCATCCAGAGGCGGCGCTCCTAGTGGCCGGGGACTTTAATGCAGGGAAACTTAAATCAGTTTTACCTCATTTCTACCAGCATGTTAAATGTGCAACCAGAGGGAAAAAAACTCTAGACCACCTTTACTCCACACACAGAGACGCGTACAAAGCTCTCACCCATCGCCCTCCATTTGGAAAATCTGACCATAATTCTATCCTCCTGATTCCTGCTTACAAGCAAAACACTAAAGAAGGAAGCACCAGTGACTCGGTCAATAAATAAAGTGGTCAGATGAAGCAGATGCTAAGCTACAGGACTGTTTTGCTGGCACAGACTGGAATATGTTCTGGGATTCTTCCGATGGCATACACTATATCAGTCACTGGCTTCATCAATAAGTGCATCGATGACGTCGTCCCCACAGTGACTGTACGTACATACCCCAACCAGAAGCCATGGATTACAGGCAACATCCGCACTGAGCTAAAGGGTAGAGCTGCCGCTTTCAAGTAGCGGGACTCTAACCCGGAAGCTTATAAGAAATCTCGCTATGCCCTCCGACGAACCATCAAACAGGCAAAGCGTCAATACAGGACTAAGATCGAATCGTACGACACCGGCTCCGACGCTCGTCGGATGAGGCAGGGCTTGCAAACTATTACAGACTACAAAGGGAAGCACAGCCGCGAGCTGCCCAGTAACACAAGCCTACCAGACAAGCTAAATTACTTCTATGCTCGCTTCGAGGCAAGTAACACTGAAACACGCATGAGAGCATCAGCTGTTCCGGATGACTGTGTGATCCTGCTCTCCTTAGCCGATGTGAGTAAGACCTTTTAAACAGGTCAACATTCACAAGGCCGCAGGGCCAGACGGATTACCAGGACGTGTACTCCGAGCATGTGCTGACCAACTGGCAAATGTCTTCACTGACATTTTCAACCTCTCCCTGTCTAAGTCTGTAATACCAACATGTTTCAACCAGACCACCATAGACCCTGTGCCCAAGAACACTAAGGTACCCTGCCTAAATGACTACCGACCCGTAGCACTCACGTCTGTAGCCATGAAGTGCTTTGAAAGGCTGGTCATGCTCACATCAACACCATTATCCCAGAAACCCTAGACCCACTCCAATTTGCATATCGCACCAACAGATCCACAGATGATGCAATCTCTATTGCGCTCCACACTGCCCTTTCACACCTGGACAAAAGGAACACCTATGTGTTCATTGACTACAGCTCAGCGTTCAACACCATAGTGCCTTCAAAGCTCATCACTAAGCTAAGGACCCTGGGACTAAACACCTCCCTCTGCAACTGGATCCTGGACTTCCTGACGGGCCGCCCCCAGGTGGTAAGGGTAGATAACAACACATCCGCCACGCTGATCCTCAACACATGGGCCCCACAGGGTTGCGTGCTCAGTCCACTCCTGTACTCCCTGTTCACTCATGACTGCATGGCCAGGCACGACTCCAACACCATCATTAAGTTTGCAGATGACACAACAGTGGTAGGCCTGATCAACGACGAGACAGCCTATAGGGAGGTCAGAGACCTGGCCGTGTGGTGCCAGGACAACAACCTCTCCCTCAACGTGATCAAGACAAAGGAGATGATTGTGGACTACAGGAAAAGGAAGAGGACCGAGCACGCCCCCATTCTCATCGACGGGGCTGTAGTGGAGCAGGTTGAGAGCTTCAAGTTCCTTGACGTCCACATCACCAACAAACTAACATGGTCCAAGCACACCAAGACAGTCGTGACGAAGGCACGACAAAACCTATTCCCCCTAAGGAGACTGAAAAGATTTGGCATGGGTCCTCAGATCCTCAAAGGTTTCTACAGCTGCACCATCGATAGCATCCTGACTGGTTGCATCACTGCCTGGTATGGCAACTGCTCGGCCTCTGACTGCAAGGCACTACAGAGGGTAGTGCGTACGGCCCAGTACATCACTGGGGCCAAGCTTCCTGCCATCCAGGACCTCTATACCAGGCGGTGTCAGAGGAAGGCCCTAAAAATTGTCAAAGTCTCCAGCCACCCTAGTCATAGACTGTTCTCTCTGCTACCGCACGGCAAGCGGTACCGGAGTGCCAAGTCTAGGTCCAAGAGGCTTCTAAACAGCTTCTACCCCCAAGCCATAAGACTCCTGAACATCTAATCATGGCTACCCAGACTATTTGCATTGCCCCCCTCTTTTACGCTGCTGCTACTCTCTGTTTATTATCTATGCATAGTCACTTTAATAACTCTATCTACATGTACATATTACCCCAATTACCTCGACTAACCGGTGCCCCCGCACATTGACTCGGTACCGGTACCCCCTGTATATAGCCTCACTATTGTTATTTTTACTGCTGCTCTTTAATTATTAGTTACTTTTATTTCGTATTATTTTATATTGTATTTTATTATTTTTGGGGGGGTATTCTTTCTTAAAACTGCATTGTTGGTTAAGGGCTTGTAAGTAAGCATTTCACTGTAAGGTCTACACCTGTTGTATTCGGCGCATATGACAAATACAATTTGATTTGATTTGAAAACATATTGATACAACAGTAGCTAAGTATGTCCATAATAAAGCGCTGCGCTACCTTCTTAACAGCACTATCAACAAGGCAGGTCCTACAGGCCCTAGTTTTGTCGCACCTGGACTGCTGATCAGTCGTGTGGTCAGGTGCCACAAAAAAAGGACTTAGGAAAATTGCAATTGGCTAAGAACAGGGCAGCACCGTTGGCCCTTGGATGTACACAGAGAGCTAACATTAATAATATGCATGTCAACCTGACCTCATCACTACTTAGTATTTATGATAGGTATTGACATGTTGAATGCACGAGCTGTCTGTTTGAACTACAGGTGCACAGCTCGGACACCCATGCATACCCGACAAGACATCCCACAAGAGGTCTCTTCACAGTCCCCAAGTCCAGAACAGACTATGGGAGGCGCACAGTACTACATAGAGCTTTGACTACATGGAACTCTATTCCACATCAAGTAACTGATGCAATTAGTAAAATGTTGGATTAAAAAAACAGATTTAAAAAAACACCTTATGGAACAGCGGGGACTGTGAAGCAACACAAACATAGGCACTGACACATACATACACACGATAGCATACGCACTATACACACACGTACACATGGATTTTGTACTGTTAATATGTGGTAGTGGTGGAGTAGGGGCCTGAGGGCACACAGTGTGTTGTGAAATATGTGCCTTGGCAGCAGCTAATGGGGATCCATAATAAATACAAATACAAAAGAATGGGAGAAACACCCCAAATACAGGTGTGCCAAGCTTGTAGCGTCATACCGAAGAAGAGTCGAGGCTGTAATGGCTGCCAAAGGTGCTTCAACAAAGTAATGAGTAAAGGGTCTGAATACTTATGCAAATGTTATATTTCAGTAGTTTTTTTTTACATTTGCTAAAATGTCTGAAAACCTGTTTTTGGTTTGTCATGCACTGTCAACTGTGGGACCTTATATAGACAGGTGTGTACCTTTCCAAATCATGTCCAATCAATTAAATTGACCACATGTGGACTCCAATCAAGTTGTAGAAGCATCTCAAGGATGATCAATGGAAACAGGATGCACCTGAGCTCAATTTCGAGTCTCATAGCAAAGGGTCTGAATACTTATGTAAATAAGGTATTTCTGTTTTTAATTTGTGATACATAATACGATACTGACTAGTATCGCGATACCACGGTGGAAAAGAATCAGTGGCCTAGCATCCTGTGTGCCCCGACCCCCGGAAGCTTGTTCACATTTTCTAAACGTTCTCCAAAAACCTGTCACTGAAATTCACACTTTTACTCAATACAACACATTGAATTTAACTTCACACTGTTCAGTGTATAATAGAATACTGCATAGAATGGCTGATTTGCTAATATTTGCAAAGGCCTACCTGTGATTTGGCTGGAGGAATGGGAGGAAAGAATATACATCAGTGGAGGCTGCTGAAGGGAGGATGGGTCATAATGATGGCTGGAACGGCGCAAATGGAATGGCATCAAACACATGGAAGCCATGCGTTTGATACCATTCCACCTATTCCGCTCCAGCCATTACCACGAGCCCGTCCTCCCCAATTAAGGTGCCACCAACCTCCTGTGATATACATGCATGAGGATCTGCATGTCATTGTGTCAGTAAGGGGAAAACACTTCAGTTAACACAGACACACAGTCTCCCTCCCTTCCTCACACACTCTCTGTCTCCCTCACTCTCATAAATACACACACACCACTCTCTCTCTCCCACAAACACACATACACACACTGCTCCCAACTTTTAAAAGGTTAGGCACCAAACAGAATTTAAGGAGCACCAGAAATAAATAGATTTTTGATATAGTTTAGGCTTCCATTAGGCATATTTGAATCCTACCTTTTGAAGCACATCTCATGAGAAGCAGACCCTTTCCTTTCTTCCTGTGCCAATCAAGTTACCAGGTTGTTAGCTAGCTAGGTAACATGATTGAACAACATTGTTTGTTATCAAACCAATAATTAGCGACCCGGGATTAGTTTAAAACGCCCTGCGACATGGTTTGTGAAATGATATAAAATGTGCGTGAATCCCGATAGAAAGAAAAAAAGGCATCTCCTGTAATATGGGTCATAGTTTTGAACCGTTTAGTCTAGAGACAAGACGTTTTCTTTGCTGTAAAGCTGCAAGCATGCCTCTCTGACACTCAGAGGCTGCATGACAGTGACCTTGCAAAGTCTACTCAGACTGGTCTGTGCTTTTGGTTATAACATGTGATGAAATGATACAATGTATCAACATTGCTCGCTTTGCGCGCTGCTCTAATGTAACAAATGTACAAATCTAACAACAGAAGACACATCAGGGTATGAGTCTGAATCCCCGCTCGCCATCACGGCTAAATTATATATTTTTTAAACTGACTGAGGAATAGACACGCACATAGAGCAGATAGAGAGAAGCAGGTGAGTGAGTGCTGTTAGGGGATGCGGCTGGCTGATTACAGCTGCCATATGTGATATGCACATGAAAGGGAAGTGGATATTATTGGACCTGCTCATTCAAGAGACTAGTGGCTTTTACTTAAATTCAACTGAATTTATTAACAAAACTGACTTTATAAACATTTTATAACAGGCGCCAGCAGGTTCTTTAGATCGGTAGGGCTAAAAAAGTCAGTATTGTATGAAACGGTAGTACGGTATTCTAAAATGTTGGTATCATAAGTATCATGACGTTTTGGTACCGTGATATTACCGTACTACAAGCAAGCCAATCAATGCCTTTGTCTCCAGTTTGGCTCTCTGTTACACATGCAAACATACACACACACACACACACACACACACACACACACACACACACACAGCACAATACTTGTGTGTTTGGAGTAGACAGAATAATAATTGATTTGGTCTCACTGAAAATAGGGATGTCATGTAAACACATTCTACTGCCACTTAGCTAGTTTGAAAGTCACCGCTCAAAAGTCCTATATTAGTTTCTACTGTGACAATCCTGTTTGTGTTAGACATGTTGACATGTTAATAACTTGTTTATGATCATGTGTGCGTGCCGGACGATGTAAGAACAATACCTAATATGAAGCATGTCGACTCAGAGTTGATGCTGTTGTCAATTTACATTGTGATTGTGTGTGTGTGTGAGAGTTTTTGTGTGTCTGTGTATGCTTGTGTGTGTGTATATATGAGTTAATGCCATATCCCTGCTTTCTCTCCCTGTTAGTTGTCGTGGGGGTCGAAGATCAAGAAGAAGCTGAAGACTGTAGCTCCCTGCCTCGGCAAATTCCGACCATCAGTAGGACAATGCTGCCACCAGTGTACCCCTGACAGCCTGGTAAGTAGGGAGAGGGAGGAAGACGGAGAGAGAGGCGAGGTGGGTACTTAAGCAATAAGACCCGAGGAGTAGTAGTAGTAGTGCGTTGCTAGGTAACGACGTAAACAATGACACTTTTTATGAATGTACAGGCCATGTGTATGTTGTCTCCAGTGGAGGCTGCTGAGGGGAGAACGGGTCATAATAATGGCCGGAACGGAGCAAATGGCATGGCATTAAACACCTGGAAACCATTTGTTTGATGTGTTTGACACCATTCCACTGATACCGCTCCAGTCATTACCACGAGCCCCTTCTCCCCAAGTAAGGTGCCACCAACCTCCTGTGGTTGTCTCGTATATCATGGGCAGGATAGGCTCTAACAATGGGAATTCCAAACCACCTGTTGTATAATTAAGCAATAAGTCCAATATACCACAGCTAAGGGCTGTTCTTAAGCACGACGCAAGGCGGAGTGCCTGGATACAGCCCTTAGCCGTGGTATATTGGCCATATACCACAAACCCCTGAGGTGCCTTATTGCTATTATAAACTGGTTACCAATGTAATTAGAACAGTAAATAGTACTTTTTTGTCATACCCATGGTATACGGTCTGATATACCACGGCTTTCAGCCAATCAGCATTCAGGGCTCAAACCACTGGGTTTATAAAGTAGATTGCATCTCAATAGTGTCTTCCTTTTCCTTGTGTTCCTCCATTTTGACACCTGTTTACTGTTTTCAGACTAATGCAGATAAAGGAGAGAACGCCACTTCAGACTATTGAAATGCACCCATAGAGAGAGACTATTGAGATGTACCCATAGAGAGAGACTATTGAGATGTACCTATACACCCCTTTCTGTGTTTGCAAACATTGCCGCACAAGGGTGATGCACGCAGGTTTGTGGCAGAACACGGGGCGTTCTTATAGAATGCCAGCAAAAACGCCTCTATTTACATGTTGCTTGAGTGCATTTAGCACTACTTTTGGATTATAATTGGAAGAATGTATGAGTCCTGTTTAATATAATGTGTGTGTCATCATTGCAAATCAACTACATTATACTTAAAAAACACTTCAACTTCAACCAGTAAAATTGCTCTTTGGCTAGCTTTTGCTACAGCCTATAAGAATGAGTATTAGCATTCTAGCTAACAACTGCTGCATACAAAATAATTATTTTGCAAAGATCACAACCAAATATAATCTTAGCGACTGTTCAAGCAAGATTCAAAACATCATTGTAAGCGTATGAGTTATTTTGTTTAGAAATAATAATAAGAAGAAGAATCTAAATGTTGAATGGGCGCAGATGGCGATGGCTTTCTTACTGCCGCCAAGAGTCGTGCGCATCTGTCCGTGACTTCAGTGTATCGTGTACTGGAAAAGGGTCTATAGAGAGAGGCTATTGAGGTGTACCCATAGAGATAAGGTTGACCTGACACACAAAGCACATTTAGCAAACCCAGTCATGTCCTAATAAATGGCCCAATTAAATAACGTCCTTAGAGGACATTCACTGTTCACATCAGTCAATCTCTGCAGCAGTGGTGGCTGGAGGCACTTTAAATCAGAGGATGGCTTCATAGTAATGGCTGGAACAAAATGAATGGAATGGTATCAATCACATCAAACATGTGTTTCATACCATTCCATCACTCAATTCCAGCCATTATGATGAGGTGTGGTACTGGCAGTGTGTAGTAGTCTTTGGACTGGTCTAACCAACTAGGTTGTGTGTTGTGTATCTGTGTGTCGTGTGTGTGTGTGTGTGTGCGCTCGCTTGCGTTTCAGGGCAAGAAGCTGGGACAGACCATACCCTCTCTGGGCTTCCAGAATCTACTGAGTGTCAATGAGACCCACACCAGGTAGACATAACACACACACACACTCTCAAATACACACACACAGACCTCCATGGCCTTACACTGCATGCAAACACACGATGATGTGATTTTTCCTGAGTCTTGTAGGTATCGTGGTTGGCTGGTGAGGAGAGTGTGCTGTGTGCTGTTGGTCAGAGGCTGCAGGGTCTACCCTAGTCCTGCTACTGACAGAGTGGAGCGAGTCTCCCAAAGCAACAGGTACCTGTGTGTGTGTGTTTTATTGTCACATGCATAAGTACAGTTAAATGCTTAACTTGCAAGCTCTACCCAACAGTGCAGTAATCAATATCAAAAATAGTATAACTAAAATTGATCGCTCCTACAGACACATAACGAAAATAGATCGCTCCTACAGACATACACTACCGGTCCAAAATTTTAGAACACCTACTCTTTCAAGGGTTTTTCTTTATTTTACAATTTTCTACACTGTAGAATAATAATGAAGACATCAAAACGATGAAATAACACATATGGAATCATGTAGTAACCAAAGAAGTGTTAAAAAAAAATCAAATTATATTTTATATTTGAGATACTTCAAATAGCCACCCTTTGCCTTGATGACAGCTTTGCACACTCTTGGCATTCTCTCAACAAGCTTCATGAGGTAGTCACCTGGGATGCATTTAAATTAACCTCTACGGGATCGGTGTCCCGTATACGGGACGGTTGAGCTAACGTGCGCTAATGTGATTAGCATGACTGTTGTAAGTAACAGCAAACTTTCCAGGACATAGACATGTCTTATATGGCAGAAAGCTTAAATTCTTGTAAATCTAACTGCACTGTCCAATTTACAGTAGCTATTACAGTGAAAAAATACCATGCTATTGTTTGAGGAGAGTGCACAACAACAAAAAACTTAGCACGGCAACTGGTTTGATAAATTTACATCTGAAGGTAAATAATGTACTTACATTCAGTAATCTTGCTCTGATTTGTCATCCTAAGGGTCCCAGACATAAAATGTAGCATAGTTTTGTTTGATAAAATATTCAAATGTAGGAACTGGGTTCTACAGTTTGAACCCCTGCTGTCTCTGGCTCCACACCCACCCCGCCTGGCCATCTAGATGTGTGAAAGTTAGTGTGTAAGCTAATGATCCATCATGTATGACATTCCTGGGAGTGTGTAAACTTACATTTTGTATTACCATATCATTTTTGTATGTTCTCTATAGTTATGTACTTGAAAATGTATCAATTGACCAATTCTGCACATTTTGGCAGACTTGATACGAAGTAGTCCAGTATTGCAATGCTTCACTGGATCATTCTGAGACTTTGCACACACACTGCTGCCATCTATTGGCCAAAATCTAAATCTAAACGCATGTTTTTTTGTTTGTATTATCTTTTACCAGATCTAATGTGTTATATTCTCCTACATTAATTTCACATTTCCACAAATTTCAAAGTGTTTTCTTTCAAATGGTATCAAGAATATGTATGTCCTTGCTTCAGGTCCTGAGCTACAGGCAGTTAGATTTGGGTATGTCATTTTAGGCGAAAATTGAAAAATAGGGTTCGATCCTTAAGAGGTTAACAGGTGTTCCTTCTTAAAAGTTAATTTGTGGAATTTCTTTCCTTCTTAATGCGTTTGAGCCAATCAGTTGTGTTGTGACAAGGTGGGGTGGGGGGGGGGGGGGGGGTATACAGAAGATAGCCCTATTTGGTAAAAGACCAAGTCCATATTATGGCAAGAACAGCTCAAATAAGCAAAGAGAAACGACAGTCCATCATTACTTTAAGACATGAAGGTCAGTCAATACGGAACATTTCAAGAACTTTGAAAGTTTCTTTAAGTGCAGTCGCAAAAACCATCAAGCGCTATGATGAAATTGGCTCTCATGAGGACCGCCACAGGAATGGAAGACCCAGAGTTACCTCTGCTGCAGAGGATAAGTTCATTAGAGTTACCAGCCTCAGAAATTGCAGCCCAAATAAATGCTTCATAGAGGCCAAATTTTTGATTTTTGGTTCCAACCGCCATGTCTTTGTGAGACGCGGTGTGGGTGAACGGATTATCGCCGCATGTGTATTTCCCACCGTAAAGCTTGGAGGAGGAGGTGTTATGGTGTGGGGGTGCTTTGCTGGTGACACTGTCTGTGATTTATTTAGAATTCAAGGTACACTTAACCAGCATGGCTACCACAGCATTCTGCAGCGATATGCCATCCCATCTGGTTTGGGCTTAGTGGGACTATCATTTGTTTTTCAACAGGACAATGACCCAATACACCTCCAGGTTGTGTAAGGGCTATTTTACCAAGAATGAGAGTGATTGAGTGCTGCATCAGATGACCTGGCCTCCACAATCCCCCGACCTCAACCAAATTGAGATGGTTTGGGATGAGTCGGACGGCAGAGTGAAGGAAAAGCAGCCAACAAGTGCTCAGCATATGTGGGAAGTCCTTCAAGACTGTTGGAAAAGCATTCCAGGTGAAGCTGGTTGAGAGAATGACAAGAGTGTGCAAAGCTGTCATCAAGGCAAAGGGTGGCTATTTGAACAATATCAAATATATTTTGATTTGTTTAACACTTCTTTGGTTACTACATTATTCAATATGTGTTATTTCATAGTTTTGATGTCTTCACTATCTTTCTACAATGTAGAAAATAGTAAAAATAAAGAAAAACCCTTGAATGAGTAGGTGTTCTAAAACTTTGGACCGGTAGTGTATAATGAAAATGGATCGCTCCTACAGACATACAGTGGGGAGAACAAGTATTTGATACACTGCCGATTTTGCAGGTTTTCCTACTTACAAAGCATGTAGAGGTCTGTAATTTTTATCATAGGTACACATCAACTGTGAGAGACGGAATCTAAAACAAAAATCCAGAAAATCACATTGTATGATTTTTAAGTAATTCATTTGCATTTTATTGCATGACAAGTATTTGATCACCTACCAACCAGGAAGAATTCCGGCTCTCACAGACCTGTTAGTTTTTCTTTAAGAAGCCCTCCTGTTCTCCACTCATTACCTGTATTAACTGCACCTGTTTGAACTCCTTACCTGTATAAAAGACATCTGTCCACACACTCAATCAAACCGACTCCAACCTCTCCACAATGGCCAAGACCAGAGAGCTGTGTAAGGACATCAGGGATAAAATTGTAGACCTGCACAAGGCTGGGATGGGCTACAGGACAATAGGCAAGCAGCTTGGTGAGAAGGCAACAACTGTTGGCGCAATTATTAGAAAATGGAAGAAGTTCAAGATGACGGTCAATCACCCTCGGTCTGGGGCTCCATGCAAGATCTCACCTCGTGGGGCATCAATGATCATGAGGAAGGTGAGGGATCAGCCCAGAACTACACGGCAGGACCTGGTCAATGACCTGAAGAGAGCTGGGACCACAGTCTCAAAGAAAACCATTAGTAACATACTACGCCGTCATGGATTAAAATCCTGCAGCGCACGCAAGGTCCCCCTGCTCAAGCCAGCGCATGTCCAGGCCCGTCTGAAGTTTGCCAATGACCATCTGGATGATCCAGAGGAGGAATGGGAGAAGGTCATGTGGTCTAAACTCCACTCGCCGTGTTTGGAGGAAGAAGAAGAATGAGTACAACCCCAAGAACACCATCCCAACCGTGAAGCATGGAGGTGGAAACATCATTCTTTGGGATGCTTTTCTGCAAAGGGGACAGGACGACTGCACCGTATTGAGGGGAGGATGGATGGGGCCATGTATCGCGAGATCTTGGCCAACAACCTCCTTCCCTCAGTAAGAGCATTGAAGATGGGTCGTGGCTGGGTCTTCCAGCATGACAACCGAAGCACACAGCCAGGGCAACTAAGGAGTGGCTCCGTAAGAAGCATCTCAAGGTCCTGGAGTGGCCTAGCCAGTCTCCAGACCTGAACCCAATAGAACATCTTTGGAGGGAGCTGAATGTCCGTATTGCCCAGCGACAGCCCTGAAACCTGAAGGATCTGGAGAAGGTCTGTATGGAGGAGTGGGCCAAAATCCCTGCTGCAGTGTGTGCAAACCTGGTCAAGACCTACAGGAAACGTATGATCTCTGTAATTGCAAACAAAGGTTTCTGTACCAAATATTAAGTTCTGCTTTTCTAATGTATCAAATACTTATGTCATGCAATACAATGCAAATTAATTACTTAAAAATCATACAATGTGATTTTCTGGATTTTTGTTGAAGTGTACCTATGATAAAAATGACAGACCTCTACATGCTTTGTAAGTAGGAAAACCTGCAAAATCGGCAGTGTATCAAATACTTGTTCTCCCCACTGTATAATGAAAATGGATCGCTCCTACAGACAGTGAGTCACGTGGCCAGCCTTATACTAGCTATATGCCAAAACACACACACACACACACACTCTCTCTCTCTCTCTCTCTCTCTCTCTCTCTCTCGCTCTCGCTCTCGCTCTCGCTCTCTCTTTATAGGGAAAAAACAAGGCCACATGAATTGGAAACCACTGAGGCCAGCAGATATACACTCACAGGCCAGTTTATTAGGTACACCACCCTGTTCACGAAAATGGTTTCGCTCCTACGGACAGTGAGTCACGTGGCCGTGGCTTGCTATATAAAGCAGGCAGACAGGTATCGAGGCATTCAGTTACTGTTCGACTGAATGTTAGAATGGGCAAAACGAGTGACCTAAGAGACTTTGAGCGTGGTATGATCGTCAGTGCCAGGCACGACAGATCCAGTAACTCAGAAACGGCCGGCCTCCTTGGCTTTTCACGCATGTCAGTGTCTAGGGTTTACCAAGAATGGTGCGACAAACAAAAAACATCCAGTCAGCGGCAGTCCTGTGGGAGAAAACAGCTTGTTGATGAGAAAGGTTGAAGGAGAATGGCAAGAATCGTACAAGCTAACAGGCGTGCCACAAACAGACAGATAACTTCGCAGTACAAGAGTGGTGTGCAGAACGGCATCTCGTAATGCACAACTTGTTGATTCTTGCCATGGATGGGCTATTGCAGCACCGGGTTCCACTCCTATCAGCTAAAAACTAGAAGAAGCGGCTCCGGTGAGCACACGATCACCAACACTGGACAATTGAGGAGAGGAAAAACATTGCCTAGTCGGACGAATCCTGTTTCCTGTTGCGTCATGTTGATGACAGAGTCAGGATTTGGCGTAAGCAGCATGAGTCCATGGACCCATCCTGCTTGGTACAGGCTGGTAGCGGTAGTGTACTTGTGTGGGGAATGTTTTCATGGCACACATTAGGTCCCTTGATACCAATTGAGCAACGACCGTTTCCGACACCTTGTAGAATCCATGTCCCGAAGAATTCAGGCTGTTCTGGAGGCAAAGGGGGTCTGACCCAGTACTAGATGGGTGTACCTAATAATCTCTCCGGTGAGTGTATAAATGTAAACGGGAGTAATAGTGACCAATAGCAGGATAAAATAGATAGATAATGGCAATCAATAATCAATGAACAGCAGCGTAGTGGTAATAATCCGTCTAATCAATAATGATTTTAGCAGCAGCGTAGGTGTGAGGGGGAGCAGTAGTTGTTAGCCTTTTAACAGTCTTATGGTCAGGGGATAGAAACTGTTTAGGAGTCTGTCGGTCTGAGCTTTGATGCACCGGTACCGTCTGCCGGACGGGAGCATGGAGAACAGTCCATGTCTCGGGTGGCTGGAGTCTTTGGCCATTTTCGGGCCTTTCTCAGACACCCCCTTGCATGTACGTCCTTGATGGCTGGGATCTCACCCAAGCTCACCTCAAGTGGGTGTGTGTGTTTGTATGAGTGCATGCATGCGTGTTTGTGCGTGCGCGTGTGTTAAGTAAAATGGCTGCTTTGTCCTGTGTTTCCTCTCCCAACTTGTGACTGTATGTGTGTGTGTTTCAGGGTGCAGAAGGCTCTCTCCTCACCACACATAGCACCAGTGGGGGGAGACACCCGGGGTTCACTCACCCGCCTCACCCCCTACCTCCCCCTCATCAACACCTGCATCTCTCCACAGCTCCTACGGTGGGTCTGTCTGTCTGTCCGTCTGTGGATGCGTCCCAAATGGCCTATAGGGCTCTATCAAAAGTAGTGCAATATAGGGAATAGGGTGCCATTTGGGATGCACTCTGTCTGTTCTTCCATCAATCTTGGAATTTGTTTTTGGAATACCATTGTCATTGGAATCCTGTCTTGGAACTAATTTGACCTGCCTTCTGAATTCCACTGCCTTTCAGATTCCATAGATGGTGGAATATAATGTAGGCCTGGATGGAATTGAAAATTCTCTTTTCAATTCCATCCTCAGTAGATATACTCTGTCATTGGAATTCTATTGTGGTTGTCTTTAGAATCTGTCCACTTCTCTCCACCAAACCTCTCTCTCTTTCTCTCTCTCTCTCTCTCTCTCTCTCTCCCCCCTTACCGCCCCTTTATTCCCTCCATCTCCCTCTACAGCTGTCACCCACACCCTCCCTCTTCCCATTGCTCCATCGCTCCTTCTTTCCATCTAATTTCCAGACAGTGTCATCTGACCGTCTCTTATCTTTATCTTTTCTCTCACGCTTTCTGTCCCTCCCTCAATCTCTCCTGTGCTCCCTCCCTCTGTCCCTCAATCTCATTTCATCTCTATCCCTCTTTCCTCTGGGTAAGTCCATTTGAATTCAATTACTTTTTGACAGCATCCCTACAGAGTGGTCCTCTGTAGCTCAATTGGTAGAGCATGGCGCTTGTAACGCCAGGGTAGTGGGTTCGATCCCCAGGACCACCCATACGTAAAAATGTATGCACGCATGACTGTAAGTCACTTTGGATAAAAGCGTCTGCTAAATGGCATATTATTATTATTATTATTATTAAAACAAACTTTCCATGTTTGTCCAAGTGACTTTTTGATGTCATTTAAAAGCTTACAAATAGGGTTGTCTAACTATTTTATAATTTCTTGAATAATTTTTTTGTGTTTTACAAAGGATTTACATTTTACCTTTAAAGTCTATTATTATTCAGGTCCAAAAAGTCACTTTGAGCACTTCTACAATGGAAAATATGTATGGAGTGTTTCGTTTAAATCAAAAGGGGTGCTGTCAAAAAGTGATTGCATTCAAATGGATTTACCCCACTCTTTCTCATGTCTGGCCTGCTGCCTGTTTCTCCTCTATCTAACCTCTATCTTTCCCTCAGAAAAACTATCTTTAGAATTAGAGCACTCCTGCGAGCTCTGTAAAGCTCTGTAAAGCACTTTGTGACAACTGCTGAGTTTGAAAGGGCTTTATAAAATAAATTAATAATTGATTGATTGAGCTCACATGGAGCTATGTGTTTTTATGGTTTGTCTCTCTCTCTAGGCTGGTAGGCTTGGTGTTGCTGAAGGTGTTTGTCTCTCTCTAGGCTGGTAGGCTTGGTGTTGCTGAAGGTGTTTGTCTCTCTCTCTAGGCTGGTAGGCTTGGTGTTGCTGAAGGTGTTTGTCTCTCTCTCTAGGCTGGTAGGCTTGGTGTTGCTGAAGGTGTTTGTCTCTCTCTAGGCTGGTAGGCTTGGTGTTGCTGAAGGTGTTTGTCTCTCTCTAGGCTGGTAGGCTTGGTGTTGCTGAAGGTGTTTGTCTCTCTCTAGGCTGGTAGGCTGGGTGTTGCTGAAGGTGTTTGTCTCTCTCTCTAGGCTGGTAGGCTTGGTGTTGCTGAAGGTGTTTGTCTCTCTCTAGGCTGGTAGGCTTGGTGTTGCTGAAGGTGTTTTGTCTCTCTCTCTAGGCTGGTAGGCCTGGTGTTGCTGAAGGTGTTTGTCTCTCTCTAGGCTGGTAGGCTTGGTGTTGCTGAAGGTGTGTTTGTCTCTCTCTCTAGACTGGTAGGCTGGGTGTTGCTGAAGGTGTTTGTCTCTCTCTAGACTGGTAGGCTGGGTGTTGCTGAAGTGTTTGTCTCTCTCTCTAGGCTGGTAGGCTTGGTGTTGCTGAAGGTGTTTGTCTCTCTCTCTAGGCTGGTAGGCTTGGTGTTGCTGAAGGTGTTTGTCTCTCTCTCTAGGCTGGTAGGCTTGGTGTTTGCTGAAGGTGTTTGTCTCTCTCTAGGCTGGTAGGCTGTGGTGTTGCTGAAGGTGTTTGTCTCTCTCTCTAGGCTGGTAGGCTTGGTGTTGCTGAAGGTGTTTGTCTCCCTCTCTAGGCTGGTAGGCTTGGTGTTGCTGAAGGTGTTTGTCTCTCTCTCTAGGCTGGTAGGCCTGGTGTTACTGAAGGTGTTTGTCTCTCTCTAGGCTGGTAGGCTGGGTGTTGCTGAAGGTGTTTGTCTCTCTCTCTAGGCTGGTAGGCTTGGTGTTGCTGAAGGTGTTTGTCTCCCTCTCTAGGCTGGTAGGCTTGGTGTTGCTGAAGGTGTTTGTCTCTCTCTCTAGGCTGGTAGGCCTGGTGTTGCTGAAGGTGTTTGTCTCTCTCTCTAGGCTGGTAGGCTTGGTGTTGCTGAAGGTGTTTGTCTCTCTCTCTAGGCTGGTAGGCTTGGTGTTGCTGAAGGTGTTTGTCTCTCTCTCTAGGCTGGTAGGCTTGGTGTTGCTGAAGGTGTTTGTCTCTCTCTAGGCTGGTAGGCTTGGTGTTGCTGAAGGTGTTTGTCTCTCTCTAGGCTGGTAGGCTTGGGTGTTGCTGAAGGTGTTTGTCTCTCTCTAGGCTGGTAGGCTTGGTGTTGCTGAAGGTGTTTGTCTCTCTCTCTAGGCTGGTAGGCTGGGTGTTGCTGAAGGTGTTTGTCTCTCTCTCTAGGCTGGTAGGCTTGGTGTTGCTGAAGGTGTTTGTCTCTCTCTAGGCTGGTAGGCTTGGTGTTGCTGAAGGTGTTTGTCTCTCTCTAGGCTGGTAGGCTTGGTGTTGCTGAAGGTGTTTGTCTCTCTCTCTAGGCTGGTAGGCTTGGTGTTGCTGAAGGTGTTTGTCTCTCTCTCTAGGCTGGTAGGCTTGGTGTTGCTGAAGGTGTTTGTCTCTCTCTCTAGGCTGGTAGGCTTGGTGTTGCTGAAGGTGTTTGTCTCTCTCTCTAGGCTGGTAGGCTTGGTGTTGCTGAAGGTGTTTGTCTCTCTCTCTAGGCTGGTAGGCTGGTGTTGCTGAAGGTGTTTGTCTCTCTCTCTAGGCTGGTAGGCTTGGTGTTGCCTGAAGGTGGTTGTCTCTCCTCTCTAGGCTGGTAGGCTTGGTGTTGCTGAAGGTGTTTGGTGTCTCTCCTCTCTGAGCTGGTATGCTTTGGTGTTGCTGAAGGTGTTTGTCTCTCTCTCTAAGGACTTGGTAGGCCTTGGTGTTGCTGAAGGTGTTTTGGTCTCTGTCCCTCTATGCTGGTAGGCGGGTGTTGCTGAAGGTGTTTGTCTCTCTCTCTAGGCTGGTAGGCTTGGTGTTGCCTGAAGGTGTTTGTCTCTCTCTATGCTGGTAGGCTGGGTGTTGCTGAAGGTGTTTGTCTCTCGCTCTAGGCTGGTAGGCTTGGTGTTTGCTGAAGGTGTTTGGGTCTCTCTAGGGCTGGGAGGCTTTGGTGTTGCTGAAGGTGTTTGTCTCTCTCTCTAGGCTGGTAGGCTGGTGTTGTGCTGAAGGTGTTTTGCTCTCTCTAGGCTGGTAGGCTGGGTGTTGCTGAAGGTTGTTTGTCTTTCTCTCTAGGCTGGTAGGCTTGGTGTTGCTGAAGGTGTTTGTCTCTCTCTCTAGGCTGGTAGGCTGGGTGTTGCTGAAGGTGTTTGTCTCTCTCTCTAGGCCGGTAGGCTTGGTGTTGCTGAAGGTGTTTGTCTCTCTCTCTAGACTGGTAGGCTTGGTGTTGCTGAAAGTGTTTGTCTCTCTCTCTAGGCTGGTAGGCTTGGTGTTGCTGAAGCTGTTTGTCTCTCTCTCTAGGCTGGTAGGCTGGGTGCTGCTGAAGGTGTTTGGGTCAGTGTTCTGCAGTGTTCAGGTCAACCTGAACCACATGGCTCCCCTGCACAAAGCCTCAAAGCAGGTACACACACATTCATACACACAAACACACACACACACTGTCATACAGACTTTTTCATATGTACCCCATAGGTATGAGGGTCTTTCTTTGCCTGGCTACCCCAAACTCCTTGCTGCGGCTAAATGGCTACGCCACGCCCACGGACGTTAGTTTCTTCTCCGCAATGAGTCTGGATCTAGTACCTCCCCGACTATTTCTAGAACGCAAACATATTTTAGCCGTTCTGATTGATCCTAGAAACCGATGCATTGGGCCAGAGCCAGAACACACGTGGGTAAAGCGGCGTTTCAAAAATTCGTAATTGCCGTTGATACTCTGGTTAGAGATGATCCAATCACTGATTACTTTATTTTGTACAACACCCCTCATTTTGATGTCACCACAAACGACTTCAATGATGGCAGTCTGACTGAAGTATGTAGCGAACATAGAGCAGCGGAAGAATTCAGTTTGAGTCGTCAGGCAAGGTCTTTCTAGGACTCTATGTTAAATCAATAGTGATGACGCTATAACCATAGTAAAACCAATTGTTGTTTTGAAGCTAATTTACTGCAATTCTACATAGTTTAACAAGACTCATGACATATTTGAGGTATACCTATAGGCTATTTAAGGATGATAATGATAATAATAATAATATAGGATAAGGATATTTTACCCCTCAAATGAAGGTCCCGCATCCCCCCAGGAAACTTTGGCGCCCCCTAGGTGCGCACACAGACATTTGATCAGAGTGGAAGGAGATATGTACAGTGGGGAGAACAAGTATTTGATACACTGCCGATTTTGCAGGTTTTCCTACTTACAAAGCATGTAGAGGTCTGTAATTTTTATCATAGGTACACTTAAACTGTGAGAGACGGAATCTAAAACAAAAATCCTGAAAATCACATTGTATGATTTTTAAGTAATTAATTAGCATTTTATTGCATGACATAAGTATTTGATACATCAGAAAAGCAGAACTTAATATTTGGTACAGAAACCTTTGTTTGCAATTACAGAGATCATATGTTTCCTGTAGGTCTTGACCAGGTTTGCACACACTGCACCAGGGATTTTGGCCCACTCCTCCATACAGACCTTCTCCAGATTCCTTCAGGTTTCGGGGCTGTCGCTGGGCAATACGTACTTTCAGCTCCCTCCAAAGATTTTCTATTGGGTTCAGGTCTGGAGACTGGCTAGGCCACTCCAGGACCTTGAGATGCTTCTTACGGAGCCACTCCTTAGTTGCCCTGGCTGTGTGTTTCGGGTCGTTGTCATGCTGGAAGACCCAGCCACGACCCATCTTCAATGCTCTTACTGAGGGAAGGGGGTTGTTGGCCAAGATCTCGCGATACATGGCCCCATCCATCCTCCCCTCAATACGGTGCAGTCGTCCTGTCCCCTTTGCAGAAAAGCATCCCCAAAGAATGATGTTTCCATCTCCATGCTTCACGGTTGGGATGGTGTTCTTGGGGTTGTACTCATCCTTCTTCTTCCTCCAAACACAGCGAGTGGAGTTTAGAACAATAAGCTCTATTTTTGTCTCATCAGACCACATGACCTTCTCCCATTCCTCCTCTGGATCATCCAGATGGTCATTGGCAAACTTCAGACGGGCCTGGACATGCGTTGGCTTGAGCAGGGGGACCTTGCGTGCGCTGCAGGATTTTAATCCATGACGGCGTAGTGTGTTACTAATGGTTTTCTTTGAGACTGTGGTCCCAGCTCTCTTCAGGTCATTGACCAGGTCCTGCCGTGTAGTTCTGGGCTGATCCCTCACCGTCCTCATGATCATTGATGCCCCACGAGGTGAGATCTTGCATGGAGCCCCAGACAGAGGGTGATTGACCGTCATCTTGAACTTCTTCCATTTTCTAATAATTGCGGCAACAGTTGTTGCCTTCTCACCAAGCTGCTTGCCTATTGTCCTGTAGCCCATCCCAGCCTTGTGCAGGTCTACAATTTTATCCCTAATGTCCTTACACAGCTCTCTGGTCTTGGCCATTGTGGAGAGGTTGGAGTCTGTTTGATTGAGTGAGTGGACAGGTGTCTTTTATACAGGTAATGAGTGGAGAACAGGAGGGCTTCTTAAAGAAAAACGAACAGGTCTGTGAGAGCCGGAATTCTTACTGGTTGGTAGGTGATCAAATACTTATGTCATGCAATAAAATGCAAATTAATTACTTAAAAATCATACAATTTGATTTTCTGGATGTTTGATTTAGATTCCGTCTCTCACAGTTGATGTGTACCTATGATAAAAATTACAGACCTCTACATGCTTTGTAAGTAAGAAAACCTGCAAAATCGGCAGTGTATCAAATACTTGTTCTCCCCACTGTAGGTGTGTGTGTGCATAGAGGGAGATTGGAGGAATGAATGTGTGTCATGTCTTTTGTTCTTCAGGGTGCTTCACTGGTGTATGTGTGTGTGCCTCAGAGTATCGTGGACTATGCTCTCATCCCCCTGGTTCTCTTCTGTCACAACCTGAGAGTGCCCTACACACTCTGTCACCTACAGATACACAACTACTGGCTCAGGTACACACACACACACACAAACACACACACACACAGACAGACATTGATTGGACCCCGTCTAGAACAGTGATTGACAAAAAGACGACCTGGTATGCCACCTCTGGCAGTTTGGCTGCTCTACTCTCTTCCTGTCACCTGACTGATATAACCTGCTCCTATAGGTCAGTCCTGCAGAGACTTGGCGTGGTCCTCCTCCCACCAGGTCCAATCACAGAACAGGAAGCAGAGACCGACAACCTCTACTCATCAGTTATGACCTCCGTAAGTCTGTCTCCATCAAACAAGTGGATTTGAGAGACCTTCGTACTTCAGGTGGAAGGAGAGAAATGGAATTTGGGCCAAGCATACACACACACACACACACACACACACACGCACAAACACATACACACACACACACACACACACACAAACACACACTCGCCATCTTTATTGCTCTTCTCGGCATGCTGATGGCAGTACTTCAATCAGAACCCAGCCTGTCCCCATCTCATCTCCAGCCCCATCTCCATCCCCCACTCCAGCCCCATCTCCATCCCCCACTCCAGCCCCATCTCCATCCCACACTCCAGACCCATCTCCATCCCCCACTCCAGCCCCATCTCCATCCCACTCCAGCTCTGTTTCCATTCCCATTAACTGCCAGTCTGAATCTCACTAGAGAAACTGTGGCGTATGTGTTGGCTGGAGAGGAGAGAGAGGGAGGAGAGAAAGGGAAAGAGGGAGGAAGGCAGCTGTGTGTGTAAGTGTATTTCTATTGGCTGTGCATCAGTGTTAATAGACCTGCTAGTTTATTGAGTTCATTTCACAGGGCTGCTCTTCTGCTGGTCAATAGTAATTTAATTCACTCTGAGACACAAAAACACAACTTGAGACTCTGGAAGCATCTAGCTACTGCAGCTCTTCCTATAGTATCACTGGTCCGTCCTGCTATAACTCTCTCTCTCTCTCTCACTCACTCTTTCTTTCTCTGTTCATCCTCCCCTCTTTCCTTATCATCCATGCCTTTTCAACCTCTCAGTAGGGACAGATGCTTGAATCGACTATTCACCACTCCTAGGTCTCCTATTTTTCAATCCTCTCCTCTCTCCTTCTCTGGTCCCCCACCCCTCTTATCGGAGGTTGTCATTATGTTGTGGTGGGTAATTTATCAGATTCTTGCATTCCAAAACATGTTTATTTCTCCAACTGCTCCCCCCTCCCCCTCTCTCTCTTTGTGTCTGTAGTTGGTTGGTGAGTTGCTGTGTGAAGGCCAGGTACTGAGTCTGTGTGTGTCAGGAGAGAGTTGTCGAGGAGGGCAATGGTTGGCACGCATCAGACTGTCTGTGAGAGAGGGAGCGGTGCCCGACGTCCACCTGGTTCCAGTGGGCATCTCCTACGACTGTGCCCCCAACACCAGCACACCGGTAGAGTATACACTGAGTGTACAAAACCTTAGGAACACCTTCCTAATATTGAGTTGCACCCCCTTTTGCCCTCAGAACAGCTTCAATTCGCCGGGGCATGGACTCTACAAGGTGTCGAAAGCGTTCCACAGGGATGCTGGCCCATGTTGACTCCAATGCTTCCCATAGTTGTGTCAAGTTGGCTGGATGTCCTTTGGGTGGTGGACCATTCTTGATACACACAGGAAACTGTTGAGCATGAAACCAGTGCGCCTGGCACCTACTACCATACCCCGTTCAAAGGCATTTAAATATTTTGTCTTGCCCATTCACCCTCTGAATGGCACACAGACACAATCCATGTCTCAATTGTCTCAAGGCTTAAAAATCCTTCTTTAACCTGTCTCCTCCCCTTCATGTACACTGATTGAAGTGGATTTAACAGGTGACCTCAATAAGGGATCATAGCTTTCACCTGGATTCACCTGGTCAGTCTGCCATGGAAAGAGCAGGTGTTCCTAATGTTTGGTACACTCAGTGTATAGCCTACAAGCACCAACATAAAGTGTTTTAAAAAGGCGTTGGGCCACCACGAGCCAGAACAGCTTCAATGCACCTTGGTATATATTCTACAAGTGTCTAAAACTATGCTGGAGGGATGCGACACCATTCTTTCACTTTGTTTTGTTGATGGTGGTGGAAAACGCTGTCTAAGGCGCCACTCCTGAATCTCCCATAAGTGTTCTATTGGGTTGAGATCTGGTGACTGAGACGGCCATGGCATATGGTTTACATCATTTTCATGCTCATCAAACTATTCAGTGACCACTCGTGCCCTGTGGATGGGGGCATTGTCATCCAATTGGGGCATAGGCATGGTAGCCAAAATAATGGCCTACCCAGCATTTTTCTACATGACCCTAAGCATGATCGGATACTGAATTAACTCAGGAACCACACCTGTGTGGAAGCACCTGCTTTCAATATACTTTGTAACCCTCATTTACTCGAGTGTTCCCATTATTTTGGCAGTTACCTGTATATACAATATAACACACACACAAATTCATCTTCTTAAAGTTTCCCTCCGAAGCACCCCCCCCCCCCCCCCAAAGTGTTGCTTCTGTACTTGTTTGTTACAGTGAGGGAAAAAAGTATTTGATCCCCTGCTGAATTTGTACTTTTGCCCACTGACAAAGAAATGATCAGTCTATAATTGTAATGGTAGGTTTATTTAAACAGTGAGAGACAGAATAACAACAAAAAATCCAGAAAAACGCATGTCAAAAATGTTTTAAATTGGATTTGTATTTTAATGAGGGAAATAAGTATTTGACCCCTCTGCAAAACATGACTTAGTACTTGGTGGCAAAACCCTTGTTGGCAATCACAGAGGTCAGACGTTTCTTGTAGTTGGCCACCAGGTTTGCACACATCTCAGGAGGGATTTTGTCCCACTCCTCTTTGCAGATCTTCTCCAAGTCATCAAGGTTTCGAGGCTGACGTTTGGCAACTCGAACCTTCTGCTCCCTCCACAGATTTTCTATGGGATTAAGGTCTGGAGACTGGCTAGGCCACTCCAGGACCTTAATGTGCTTCTTCTTGAGCGACTCCTTTGTTGCCTTGGCCGTGTGTTTTGGGTCATTGTCATGCTGGAATATCCATCCACGACCCATTTTCAATGCCCTGGCTGAGGGAAAGGAGGTTCTCACCCAAGATTTGACGGTACATGGCCCCGTCCATCGTCCGTTTGATGCGGTGAAGTTGACCTGTCCCCTTAGCAGAAAAACACCCCCAAAGCATAATGTTTCCACCTCCATGTTTGACGGTGGGGATGGTGTTCTTGGGGTCATAGGCAGCATTCCTCCTCCTCCTCCAAACACAGGCGAGTTGAGTTGACGCCAAAGAGCTCCATTTCACCCAGTTCTCCTCTGAATCATTCAGATGTTCATTGGCAAACTTCATACGGGCATGTATATGTGCTATCTTGAGCAGGGGGACCTTGCGGGCTCTTTGGTCTTGGCCATGGTGAAGAGTTTGGAATCTGATTGATTGATTGCTTCTGTGGACAGGTGTATTTTAGAAATGATCAGTCTATAATTTTAATGGTAGGTTTATTTGAACAGTGAGAGACAGAATAACAACAAAAAAATCCAGAAAAACGCATGTCAAAAATGTTATAAATTGATTTGCATTTTAATGAGGGAAATAAGTATTTGACCCCTCTCAATCAGAAAGATTTCTGGCTCCCAGGTGTATTTTATACAGGTAACAAGCTGAGATTAGGAGCACTCCCTTTAAGAGTGTGCTCCTAATCTCAGCTCGTTACCTGTATAAAAGACACCTGGGAGCCAGAAATCTTTCTGATTGAGAGGGGGTCAAATACTTATTTCCCTCACTGTAGATGGTGATGGTGTTCCGTTGTGGGTGGGTTAGTGTTCCCTCTTCATCTTATTGTTAATCTGACACACACACATTTCATCCTATTGTTCATTAAAAGAGCCTGCTCATTATTGTTATTGCTCCCCTAATCTTCCTCTTAATGGGAGAGCCCCATTATGATATCATCATCATAACTCATCTGTGTGTGCGTGTGCTTATGTGCATATTCTATACTTCTATTCTATCTGTACTTCCATTCTCCTCTCACTAATCGTTCCCTCAAGTATCCTAAGAACTTCCCACGTCCCCATGAGGACAAAGGCTATTTTAAGCTTAGGTGTTAGGGTTACTATTAGGGTTAGGGTAAGGGGTTAGGAGTTAGGTTTGGGTTATGGGTTAAGGTTAGAGTTATGATAAAGGTTTAGGGGTTAGGGAAAATAGGATTTTGAATGGAAATGTATTGTAGGTCCCCACGTGGATAGAAGAACATAACGTGTGTGTGTGTTGATATGTATTCCATATCCCCCAGGTTGGTCTGCTGTCTGCTCTGAGGTGTGTGTTCTCCTTGCTATGCGGCAGCCGACAGAGAGGTAGTGTGAGGATCCACTTCGCCCAGCCCTTCTCTCTAAAGGTATGTTCAGCCTAGTCTCTCAACCTTGTTCGGACCAGGAACTGATTGGTATGCTATTGTTGTTCCTTCATGGAGGACTGTGCTGCTTAGCTTAAAACGAACTCTCTCCAACAGACAGGGATTAAGAAACACTGAAGGCTTAGTATTTCTGAAGTGTAGTTGTGACTAGGGCTGTGGCGGTCATGAAATTTTGTCAGCCGGTGATTGTCAAGCAAATAACTGCCGGTCTCACGGTAATTTACCGTTAATTAACATAAACACATTTAGCATCTCCTGGCTTCCACACATGTAGTTGGCCACCAAGCCACTGATGCAGACCTTTGGAACATCTACATTTAAAAAAGTCTAATAAATCCATCTACACCAGCCTACACCATCACAATAAATTCATTATTTATTTTAGACAGGTCTAAAGAAACATGATATGAAGGAAATGTAGTCTATTTCAGAAGAACAGAATAGCATGCTCTGAGTTGTCCTTATGCTAGATCCTGATATGGTTATGCCAAATGACTGTGGGCTACACTAGTTAATTTAGCAGACAAGATTTGCTTAGAATTCCATGGAATTATTTTATAATATTTTATAGAATGAAGAATAAAATTGAACATAGCTGAATAAAATAGAAAGGATATTTTCTCCAAACGATTTGAGGGAATGCGCACATGCGGCTATTCTGTGTTGAGCGGTTAAAAAAGAAACAGGTACTCCTATATGCTTAATTTAGAATTATTTATGTAACTTTAGTTGTGATACAAATGTTGGGCTATATTTTTTTATGTTTTATACATTCTAAGGCTGTATGATACGACAAATTATGATTTGAAAAAAGTTGCATGAAAGGCATGAGCTCTGCTTTCTTTTTTTCGCAGGCTGTACACACTTCATCAGCCTCTCATTCACAATTTGACAAGCACTTAATAATGCCTCTATTTCCCGACTGCATCCCCTTTGTGTGGCCGTAATGCCCCCTAAAAAGCAGCCAGTGGCCGTTGTGCCCTTGGGATGAATATAATAATTATAATTCCCTTCTCCCGGCTGCGTGCTCCGAAGCACCTCTCAATCGCATGGCTCTCAGTCACGTGGTACGGGTCTTTCTCACAGGCTACAAGTGAAGACAGACACATCGGGGACGCAACTGTGCGCGTCCTTATCCAATTCCGAGGTGCATATTGAAGATATTGGAAGAACTGTCCACATTTACTTTCCGTCAGCCAACAAGATGAGTAGGCCTAACGAACAGCAAAAGCACTAGTCTATGTCAATCTATTATCCCCCATAGTATAAAAGTTGACCTATTCTATTCTGTGCGATAAAAAAAATATAGCCTGAGACAGTTATGGAATGCGATAGATCCCAAATTAATACAACCACTAGCATCAAAAAACCTGTTTTAAGCAATGAGCCTGACAAAACAGATGAGAACGTTTAGCTTAAAATGTTGATAAACTATTAGGCTATTTCTTCACATTATAAGCGCTGCAATGCGCAAATGGCAGTAGGCTATAAGCGCAAATGTTCCATTAGCAGGAAAACACCATTTTCCCGTGGTTCATTTTCATGCCAGTCAGGTAGGCTATACTCCTGTTTTAAAGAGAAACAATGTGCTTAATATTAGGAAAGTTGATAAATAAATATAGTAGGCCTAGCCTATAGAATTCTGATGGGATCCTCCTCTTTTTAATAGAGGCCATCATTCTGTTTTGTCACTCAATTGCATAGCCTATAGAAATGTTGCGCAACATGAGCTCATGGGCTCTCATTAAGTGTTTGATTAGATTTGCATTGATGTCAGAGTGATTAGAGGGACAATAGAGTGCTGAGTACCAGGCAGTTAGCAAGTTTGGTAGGCTACTAATGACCATCAGCAGCATCAGAGCTTGGAGAAGCCTAATTAACCACATGGAATTTGACTGCCGTCATGACTCGTGACCGACGGTGTGGCGGTTAATATGAACAGACCTAGTTGTGACTGAGTGTGTGTGTGCATGCATGACTTTTCTCTCTTCTCTGTGTGTGTGTGTGTGTGTGTGTGTGTGTGCGTGCGTGCGTAGGAGATGTGTGACACAGGGAGGTGTCGTGTGGATAGAGGACGCCCTCTACAGGACCTCCTGCTCCCTACCATTCTACACACGAGGTGTGTGCATGCGCGTGCGTGCGTCACATCTTATCTCAATCTCTGCTGTTCAATGCTCACTTTTTATGAAACTCAGAGGGGGAGGAAGAGAGAGGAAGATGGGAAAAGGAGAGAAAGAGTTGAAAGGGGGTATCAGCAGTGGGCACTGAAGATGGATGGAGAGAGAGAAAGAGTTTGTGTTGAGTCAATCCTACTGGCTTTACTTGGTTTATTGTGTCTGTTTAAAGTCTCTATTGTTCACAGCTCAAATAGTAAACACACAGCAGTGAACAGGAGAGCTGGCCAAACCAAGCTGGGGCCTGGTGGGATGCAGACACACACACACACACACACACACACACACAAACATACACACACACACACTTTTGATCTGACTCAAAGACAAACACACTCATTCAAAGTGCCTAACTGATGCTCACACACCCTGCAGTCTCTACTCTCTAGGTTTTATGCTTTTTCTATCCGGCATCGCTAATTGAGATCATTTCCTGTTTTGAATTAGCTGATTTGATGAAAGGTCTTTAGACTGATATGTGTGTGTGTGTGCGTCCTTGCCCTCCCTCCAGGTCTGATGCGATATTTGGCCAGAGGATGATGTCATGGGTCCTGCCCCCTCGTTATGTGCCTGAGCTCTGCCAGTCAGAGAGAGACCTCAGCATCGCCCTCACCCTGCACCTCATCTACTGTGAGTTGCGCGCACACACACACACACACACACACACACACATACATACATACATACATACATACATACATACATACATACATACATACATACATACATACATACATACATACACATACCAACACGGTACACACACACACACACACACACACACAGAGCGATACATGCAAACATACAAACATAGTACATACACACACACCTACCCTGCCCTTCATCTACTGTGAGTCCATTGCCAGTCCTAAATCAACCCCTAGTCCTAACCCCTAACCTGTAGACTCTTCTTGATTCCCCCTTGTACATCAGGAAGGATCAGATCAGCTATACAGTACTAGGCTGTGGAGTTTCCACCATATATTTGACATATTATATCACTGTTTAACCCCTCCTCTCTCTCTATCTCACCCTCTGTCTGTCTCTTCATCTCTTTGACATGTTATAATGCCAGTTCCAGTCTATGTAACATGTAATATACCTGCCGTTTTTCCTCTTCTTAGCCACTATGTCCTGCATGGCTGTGATGTCTACTAGCCTGGTCTCCTGTCTTCTACTGCACAAACACCGCAAGGTACGATATGTGTGTGTGTGTGTGTGTGTATTAGAGAGTGAACTATTCTCCTGCCAGTCTCATGGTGATGTCACAGGGAACACACACCATATATGACAATAAACTCAGCCTGGGGGTTAAGGAGTCCTGTGTTTTTCTGCTTATTTTCTGCTTATTGTTTCTGTGTGTTGACGTTATTAGTGTCGCTGACGCTGACTTTCTGCTCTCAAAGGGGCAAAGCGCTGTTCTTTCATTAGTTTGTCTGTTCAGCTCACCCCATTTTCTCTCTCTCTGTCGATCTCTCTCTCTCCACCCCCTCCCTCTATCCAGGGTGTGTGTCTGTCTGTGTTGTGTCGTGACGTGGCCTGGCTGCTGGAGGAGATCTTGTTCAGGAACAGAGACGTGGGCTTTGGGGGGAGTCTGGTTGGGGTGGTCTACCACTCCCTCACCCTCCTCACCCCTCACCTCACCCTCGCTGCCCATCCCAAAGACAGGTCTGTGTGTCTGTGTGTGTGTGTGTCTATGTCTGTGTGTCAGTGTATGAGAGGGGGAATGACAAAACCATTTCCCTCCCTCTCTCTCCCTCCCTTCTTCCAGGTCTGATCCCCTCATCGCTCCCCACCCCTCTCTCTCCGCCACTCTCTCTCTTTCCCGCCATGCCCAGATACTCTCACACACCTTCATCCATGAGGCCGTCGGAGGTACGTGTGTGCAAATTCATTACCACATTCACAATCTTCATTGGTTAGTTGCATTAAAGTTGCATTATTTATGTCTCTTTTTCCTACAATTGACAACGTGTGTGTGTGTCCAGCGTGTGCGGTGTCGGCCATGCTGTGTGAAGTGGCAGGCTGTGGGGGCAGTAGCAGGGTCAGGGGTGAAGAGATTAAAGGTGACGAGGTCAGAGGGGAGATGGAGTTTGACGTGGCACTGTGTCAGGACGAACTGACTGAGAGAGCCCTGCAACTCACACACCTACTGCCCCCGGGGTATATGCCTGTGAGTACGCACACACACACTGCCCCACGGGGTATATGCCTGTGAGTACGCACACACCTACTGCCCCCGGGGTATATGCCTGTGAGTACGCACACACCTACTGCCCCCGGGGTATATGCCTGTGAGTACGCACACACACACTGCCCCCGGGGTATATGCCTGTGAGTACGCACACACACACTGCCCCCGGGGTATATGCCTGTGAGTACGCACACACACACTGCCCCCGGGGTATATGCCTGTGAGTACGCACACACACACTGCCCCCGGGGTATATGCCTGTGAGTACGCACACACACACTGCCCCAGGGGTATATACATGTGAATAGTACACATTCAAACACACACATAACTACTACTGTGCCTGGATATACTGTAATAGTCACTACACACAACACACACACACACACACACTCAGCCAGCCAGCCAGCCAGTCCAGTGTATCTTATTCAATGAATGTTTAATGGAGCAGCACAGCCATTCATCTAGCTCTGAGAGGAAAAGAGAGAGATATATTGTGTATGGAGTGTGTGCTCTCGAACTCTCACTGTCCTCAAAGGCTTTTAATCAAAGACATAAATACTAGGCTTTTCTCCTTCCCTCCCTCTCTCTCTCCATTCCCTCCTTTGTCTAATTGCATCAGTTTTTATTTCTGACTCACACTTTTTCTCTCTTTCCTCACCCCCCCTACCCCTCTCTTTTCCCCCCTCTTCTCCCTCTCTCTCTCTTTCTCCTCTCTAAACCTATTGTGTGCTACACTCCATCTCCTGTGGTCTCTGTTAGCTGTCTATATAGCTTGTAGATATCTGATCTGTAGGTGATGTGGATGGCATATTGACTGATAGCTGCCTGTCTGTCCACCAGTAGCAATAATGCTCTAAGCTCCGACTCACCCCATTTTTCTGTCTCTCTCTCTCTCTAGCCGTGTCAGTCATCACATGGCTTTGCTCTGGATGCAGTGGACACACTGGTGCGTTGTGGCATCCTAGTGATGGAGGAGGTGAGAAGCCATCGCACACAACACACACACACACACACACACAAACGTACATCTCTCACAACACACTTTCACCATTTCAACCCAGTCATTGGCCTTATGTCATTTATATCCCGTGTGTGTGTAGGTTCCTAGGGACACTCCGATCTGTGATTTCTGGAGGAAGGAGGGTACTCTGACCTGGAGTGCTTCAGACGACCATTCTGACTCTGACTGTGAAGAAGGAGATGCACGCTCCTTCAAGGTACACACACACAGAACTACTAATCAACTAAACTCAGTGACTGAAATCTTAGGTAACATTTTAAAGAATTATCGTGGAAATTCTTACACAGGGACACTCGAAGTCAATCTTAATTGAATCATTGTTTATTGTCAGCACGCTGGGGAGGTGCCAACAAACTTAATGCACCATTGTAAACGTCTGTCAGAAGCTCTAATGGGGCAGTCCCGTTAGTTCTCTTATATACTGACAAGTCATATTTGCATGATTTAGCTTATTCATAATTAATTCATCATTAACGTTTGCTTCATTCATGTGACCGACCAATTCTGGGTCATGCATGTGACAGACCAATACCTCACAAGGCTTCTTCTCTCTAAGCTGAGACCTTGAAACTGAGATATCCTTTTCTCTAAACAAGGTTCTGGGTGTACTGCCAAATTGCAGACGCTGATAGTGAGGATTCGTCAATCAGTCACTTGCATGAACACAGAAATGTGTTTATAGAAAAGCACCAACATAAAATGTTCCATCACAGAATGTTGAAGTTGAAATATCTCTCTCTCTACTTTATCTCTCCCTATCTACCTCTCTGTAGTTGAGCCAGCCCAGCCAATGTCCAGAACTGCTGTTCTTCCTGTGCAGTCTGATGGCTGGCTACCTAAGGGCCCTGTGCTGGGCTACAGAAGGACTAGACCTCCTAGACACTCCCCTACCAGGTGTGTAGGTGTGTAGGTGTGTGTGTGTGTGTGTGTGTGTGTGTGTGTGTGTGTGTGCGTGTGCATGTGTGGAACTCCTCTGAGTAGCTGTGTGTGTCTCCCCCTGCAGAGGCTGTGTGTTTGGGCCAGATACACTCCCACCTGTGTGACACCGCCCAGAGGGACAGGGGACACTATGGTGAGACTGGAATTACACAATGACACACACACAGAATGCTAATGCCCATACTGCAAACATTTGCCTAATGAAAAACTATTCTCTTTAATAACCAGCTTATTTGTCTGGAGGTTACCCACACGACTCACACACTCAGATTTATACGCACCATTCACAAACACTGCTTTGTTGTGTGTGCTTGTTGTGTGTCTCTGGTGTGTGTGTGTGTGTGTGTGTGTGTGTGTGTGTGTGTGTCACAGAGAGCTGCTCAGAGGAGATGGCAAGTGTGACAGTCAGGACGCTGACAGACCTGGGGGTGAGAAACAGGCACTGTGTGTGTGTGTGATTAACATTTTATCAGTGACTCACTGGTCCTTGCACTTGTATCTAAAAAAGTATCTGTGTGTGCGTGTATGTATGTGTGTGTCAGGTGCTGGTTGAGGAGCAGCAGAGAGGATGTGTGTTCCTGGGAGTCAGTCCACTCTTCCAACAGACAGACAATAGACAGAAACTCCACAGCTTTGTATCCCAGTTCCTCTATGACTAATACACACACACACACACACACACACACACACACACACACACACACACACACACACACACCACGAGAGAAAGACCAAGCAGTGAATGACAGTAAAGTCTATATACTGAAGCTTATTCAATCATAATTAAAGCAGATATTTCCCTCTCCTAACTCACAGCAGAGGTTATGTGTTTAGAACATAATGTAAAATCCTTTCTGAACAGTCTGCTGACTCCTAGCTCTATAATGTGTTTACATGATCAAGTCGTTGGAATTAAGTTGACATATTACTTTTACTTTTCTCAGGCTATTTTTTCTTAAATCTGAATGTGTGTTTCAGTTTAGTAAGAGACTTTGTATGAGTCTATAAGGAACCGGAACATTGGGTCTCGTTTCAGTTTAGATGTTGCCTTTGGCCAAAGATGTGATGAATTGTCCTGGAGCAGTTCTACTTTTTGGACACACCAGAGAAATTGAGAGAAGATTTGTGTTTCTAGTGTTAATGATGTAGAATAGCTCAGTGGAAAGTGTCTAGCAAGATTTTGTTAATATATGATGCTCTTTGTTATGTTCATGTTGTTATTAAACCTATACATTTGTTTTTGTTTCCTGAATCCATTATTGCTCTGCACTCACAAACCTGAAGCCTCACACTCCATTAGAAGTGATAAGGGTCATAATGACTGAGAACAATCTCTATGAAACTAATGTGTGGGCAGCCATTCAGTTTATTGTTTGCCAAGTGTTCACATAAGTTGACAATGGTTTATGGACTAGAGGTCAGTTTAGATTAGAAAACTCTTGAGTCTTGTCAGTATATTTCTATCATGTCTGTTCTGGGCAGTGTATATCTATAACTGTTCTAGGCCAGGGCTCTCTAACCCTGTTCCTGGAGAACTACCATCGTATAGGTTTTCACTCCAACCCTAATCTAGCAAACTGATATAATATTTAACTAAAATAAAATAATTTCAAACCTTGCTTACCTTTGTATATGATCACTATTATGCGTGGAAATACTTCAGAACAGATTTCCCAAATTAAAATCACTTGGAGCTGATTTCCTGGTGTTTAAAAAAAATAAATAATTGTCCAACAATGAAAATTCAAAAAAATATATATATTTTTTGGCTCAGAAAACATGGGGGGCCAAATAAAGCCCCCCGTGGGCCAAATTCGGTTTGGTTGGGGAACCCTGTTCTAGGCAGTGTATCCTATTTCTATCATGGCTGTTCTTCTAGATAGTGTCTTTCTATCATCATGGCTGTTCTAGGCAGTGTATTTCTATCATTGTGGCTGTTCTAGACAGTGTATTTCTATCATGGCTGTTCTAGACAGTGTATTTCTATCATCATGGCTGTTCTAGGCAGTGTATTTCTATCATCATGGCTGTTCTAGACAGTGTATTTCTATCATCATGGATGTTCTAGGCAGTGTATTTCTATCATCATGGCTGTTCTAGGCAGTGTATTTCTATCATCATGGCTGTTCTAGACAGTGTATTTCTATCATCATGGCTGTTCTAGGCAGTGTATTTCTATCATCATGGCTGTTCTAGGCAGTGTATTTCTATCATCATGGCTGTTCTAGACAGTGAATTTCTATCATGGCTGTTCTAGGCAGTGTATTTCTATCATCATGGCTGTTCTAGGCAGTGTATTTCTATCATCATGGCTGTTCTAGGCAGTGTATTTCTATCATCATGGCTGTTCTAGACAGTGAATTTCTATCATGGCTGTTCTAGACAGTGTATTTCTATCATCATGGATGTTCTAGGCAGTGTATTTCTATCATCATGGCTGTTCTAGGCAGTGTATTTCTATCATCATGGCTGTTCTAGGCAGTGTATTTCTATCATCATGGCTGTTCTAGACAGTGAATTTCTATCATGGCTGTTCTAGACAGTGTATTTCTATCATCATGGATGTTCTAGGCAGTGTATTTCTATCATCATGGCTGTTCTAGGCAGTGTATTTCTATCATCATGGCTGTTCTAGACAGTGCATTTCTATCATCATGGATGTTCTAGGCAGTGGGAAGATGAGAGTTGAGGTCAAATAATTCACCATTACACACTGTAGCAGACAATATGTGCATGAAAAACATTTTAACAGATGGAAATAAGTAAAATCAGTTATCTTGTAAGGCAAAAATATAGTGTGCAGTTTGGCACGCATGCTATTTCAAGAAATTGCAGAGAAAAGATACCGAGAAGTGTCAATGTCAGAAGACCTTTCTTATATGACACACTACTGTCATCTTGTGGTGGTCTGAACAAATGGCAGCATTTGAAATCAGAGAAGTGGACTAGTCACACCAAGTATGTGTGACAGGCTGGCTGTGCATTTTACCTCTGTTGCCCTTGAATAATCAATAGCCTTCAGCTCTCTCTTTCTGTCTCTCACACTTTGCATTTAGATTGAGTGTGTATCTCTGGGGTGTGTTTGACACAGTAAACACTTGCGTTTGTGTAAGCCAGGCTCTGTCGCAGCCGGCCGCGACCGGGAGACCCCTGGGCGGCGCACAATTGGTCCAGCGTCGTCCAAGGTAGGGGAGGGTTTGACCTGCAGGGATGTGGGTTCGTTTCCCACGGGGTGCCAGTATGACAAAAAAAAAAAAAAAAAAAAAAAACATCTATGCATTCACTAACTGTAAGTCGCTCTGGATAAGAGCGTCTGCTAAATGACAAATTTAAAATGTAAATGTAAAATGTAAGCGCTGCAGGAGAGGCCACTGTGTGTTGCTGTGACTAACCAGGCATAACGTAACTGCCAGACAAAACATTTCCAATACATAATTTGTATCTACAGTAAAGCATTGAACTGCAGTGGACCCAAATATTTAATATTTGTCTGATTTGAATCATGGAGACCAAAGCCACCATCTCCATACAGAGCAGATGAGCTGCCCACAACAGCTGACTCAGAGCAATACGTTTACATTTTAGTCATTTAGCAGACGCTCTTATCCAGAGCGACTTACAGTTAGTGCATACATTTTCATTCTGGCCCCCCGTGGGAATCGAACCCACAACCCTGGCGTTGCAAGAGCCATGCTCTACCAACTGAGCTACACAGAGGGGACCAATACCTTGCCAGCTGCTTGGCCTTTCTCTATGTCACACACTGTCACACAGCCTCACAGTGGGCATGGTAAGTGGCTGCTATTCCTGCACACACTGGACTCTTATCTGCACCCACGTCTAGCTTCATATACACTCAGTTGTCAGTTTATTAAGTATTAAATGGTTCGCTCCTACAGACCGTGAATCACGTGGCTGTGTCTTGCTATATAAAGTAGAATCCATGCCCCGAATAATTCAGGCTGTCCTGGAGGTAAAGGGGGGTTCGACCCGGTACTACACTGAACAAAAATATAAACGCATCATATAAAGTGTTGGTTTCATGAGCTGAAATAAAAGATCCCAGAAATGTTCCATACACACAAAAAGCTTATTTCTCTCAAATTGCGTGCACAAATTTGTTTACATCCCTGTTAGTGAGCATTTCTCCTTTGCCAAGATAATCCATCCACCTGATAGGTGTGGCATATCAAGAAGCTGATTGAACAGCATTATCATTACACAGGGGCACCTTGTGCTGGGGACAATAAAAGGCCACTAAAATGTGCAGTCACACAACACAATGCCACATATGTCTCAAGTTTTGAGGGAGCATGCAATTGGCAATGCTGACTGCAGGAATGTCCACCAGAGCTGTTGCCAGAGAATATTAAATGTGCATTTCTCCACCATAAGCCGCCTCCAACGTCGTTTTAGAGAATTTGGCAGTACGTCCAACCGGCCTCACAACCGCAGACCACGTGTAACCACGCCAGCCCAGGGCCTCCACATCTGGCTTCTTCACCTGTGGGATCGTCTGAGACTAGCCACCCGGACAGCTGATGAAACTGTGGGTTTGCACAACCAAATAATTTCTGCACAAACTGTCAGAAACCGTCTCAGGGAAGCTCATCTGTGTACTTGTCATCCTCACCAGGGTCTTGACCTGACTGCAGTTTGGCGTCATAACCGACTTCAGTGGGCAAATGCTCACCTTCAATGGTCACTGGCACGCTGGAGAAGTGTGCTCTTTACGGATGAATCCCGGTTTCAACTGTACCGGGCAGATGGCAGACGTATGGCGTCGAGTGGGCGAGCGGTTTGCTGATGTCAACTTTGTGAACAGAGGAGTGGCGTGGGGTTATGGTATGGGCAGTCATAAGCTGCGGACAACAAACATTTTATCGATGGCAAATTGAATGCACAGAGACACCGTGACGAGATCCTGAGACCCATTGTTGTGCCATTCATCCGACGCCATCACCTCATGTTTCAGCATGATAATGCACGGCCCCATGTCACAAGGACATGTACACAATTCCTGGAAGCTGAAAATGTCCCAGTTCTTCCATGGCCTGCATACTCACCAGACATGTCACCCATTGAGCATGTTTGGGATGCTCTGGATCGACGTGTACGACAGCGTGTTCCAGTTCCCGCCAATATCCAATATTTTTAAAGGTATCTGTGACAAACAGTTACATATCTGTATTCCCAGTCATATGAAATCCATAGATTAGGGCATAATGAATGTATTTCAATTGACTTATATTAACTTTAATTCAGCAAAATCTTTGAAATTGTTGCATGTTGCGTTTTTTTCTGTTCAGTGTAGATGGGTGCACCTAATAAACTGACCACTGAGTATATCTATTGTATATCTATATGAATATCATCTAGGTGTTGCTACGGAAAATATGACAATTACATTGAGGGAAAAAAGTATTTGATCCCCTGCTGATTTTGTACGTTTGCCCACTGACAAAGAAATGATCAGTCTATAATTTTAATGGTAGGTTTATTTGAAGTGAGAGACAGAATAACAACAAAATAATCCAGAAGAACGCATGTCAAAAATGTTATAAATTGATTCACATTTTAATGAGGGAAATAAGTATTTGACCCCCTCTCAATCAGAAAGATTTCTGGCTCCCAGGTGTCTTTTATACAGGTAACGAGCTGAGATTAGGAGCACACTCTTAAAGGGAGTGCTCCTAATCTCAGTTTGTTACCTGTATAAAAGACACCTGTCCACAGAAGCAATCAATCAATCAGATTCCAAACTCTCCACCATGGCCAAGACCAAAGAGCTCTCCAAGGATGTCAGGACAAGATTGTAGACCTACACAAGGCTGGAATTGGCTACAAGACCATCGCCAAGCAGCTTGGTGAGAAGGTGACAACAGTTGGCGCGATTATTCGCAAATGGAAGAAACACTAAATAACTGTCAATCTCCCTCGGCCTGGGGCTCCATGCAAGATCTCACCTCGTGGAGTTGCAATGATTATGAGAACGGTGAGGAATCAACCCAGAACTACACGGGAGGATCTTGTCAATGATCTCAAGGCAGCTGGGACCATAGTCACCAAGAAAGCAATTGGTAACACACTACGCCGTGAAGGACTGAAATCCTGCAGCGCCCGCAAGGTCCCCCTGCTCAAGAAAGCACATATACATGCCCATCTGAAGTTTGCCAATGAACATCTAAATGATTCAGAGGAGAACTGGGTGAAAGTGTTGTGGTCAGATGAGACCAAAATGGAGCTCTTTGGCATCAACTCAACTCGCCGTGTTTGGAGGAGGAGGAATGCTGCCTATGACCCCAAGAACACCATCCCCACCGTCAAACATGGAGGTGGAAACATTATGCTTTGGGGGTGTTTTTCAGCCAGGGCATTGAAAATGGGTCGTGGATGGGTATTCCAGCATGACAATGACCCAAAACACACGGCCAAGGCAACAAAGGAGTGGCTCAAGAAGAAGCACATTAAGGTCCTGGAGTGGCCTAGCCAGTCTCCAGACCTTAATCCCATAGAAAACCTTATTGACTTGGAGAAGATCTGCAAAGAGGAGTGGGACAAAATCCCTCCTGAGATGTGTGCAAACCTGGTGGCCAACTACAAGAAACGTAAAATACTTATTTCCCTCATTAAAATGCTAATCAATTTATGACATTTTTTACATGTGTTTTTCTGGATTTTTGTTGTTGTTATTCTGTCTCTCACTGTTCAAATAAACCTACCATTAAAATTATAGACTGATAATTTCTTTGTCAGTGGGCAAACGTACAAAATCAGCAGGGGATCAAATACTTTTTTCCCTCACTGTATATGAGTCATAATAACTGCCATGAATATTTATCATAATTATTAATGGAAGTCCTGATTCATGTAATTGTCTGGGTAAAAATATATTCTTTATGACACTGAATGCGTCCAAAATGGCATCCTATTCCCTATATAGTGCACTACTTTTGACTTTTGGTCTGTGGTCAAAAGTAGTGCACTATGTAGGTTATAGGGTGCCATTGGGACAGAGACTTCTGTGAAGACTCATCACGCATTTAACCATGTGAGTGGTATTATAGAATGACAATAGATATTTTGTATAAGAATGATCACAGAACATACAATAAAGAGCTTGAATTTGTAAAAGTAATCTAGTCGAATCTACAGAAATTCCACAAAATACAGTGGGGAAAAAATGTATTTAGTCAGCCACCAATTGTGCAAGTTCTCCCACTTAAAAATATGAGAGAGGCCTGTAATTTTCATCATAGGTACACGTCAACTATGACAGACAAATTGAGAAAAAAAAAAAGAAAAAAAAATCACATTGTAGGATTTTTAATGAATTTATTTGCAAATTATGGTGGAAAATAAGTATTTGGTCACCTACAAACAAGCAAGATTACTGGCTCTCACAGACCTGTAACTTCTTCTTTAAGAGGCTCCTCTGTCCTCCACTCGTTACCTGTATTAATGGCACCTGTTTGAACTTGTTATCAGTATAAAAGACACCTGTCCACAACCTCAAACAGTCACACTCCAAACTCCACTATGGCCAAGACCAAAGAGCTGTCAAAGGACACCAGAAACGAAATTGTAGACCTGCACCAGGCTGGGAAGACTGAATCTGCAATAGGTAAGCAGCTTGGTTTGAAGAAATCAACTGTGGGAGCAATTATTAGGAAATGGAAGACATACAAGACCACTGATAATCTCCCTCGATCTGGGGCTCCACGCAAGATCTCACCCCGTGGGGTCAAAATGATCACAAGAACGGTGAGCAAAAATCCCAGAACCACACGGGGGGACCTAGTGAATGACCTGCAGAGAGCTGGGACCAAAGTAACAAAGCCTACCATCAGTAACACACTACGCCGCCAGGGACTCAAATCCTGCAGTGCCAGACGTGTCCCCCTGCTTAAGCCAGTACATGTCCAGGCCCGTCTGAAGTTTGCTAGAGTGCATTTGGATGATCCAGAAGAGGATTGGGAGAATGTCATATGGTCAGATGAAACCAAAATATAACCTTTTGGTAAAAACTCAACTCGTCATGTTTGGAGGACAAAGAATGCTGAGTTGCATCCAAAGAACACCATACCTACTGTGAAGCATGGGGGTGGAAACATCATGCTTTGGGGCTGTTTTTCTGCAAAGGGACCAGGACAACTGATCCGTGTAAAGGAAAGAATGAATGGGGCCATGTATCGTGAGATTTTTAGTGAAAACCTCCTTCCATCAGCAAGGGCATTGAAGATGAAACGTGGCTGGGTCTTTCAGCATGACAATGATCCCAAATACTCCGCCCGGGCAACGAAGGAGTGGCTTCGTAAGAAGCATTTCAAGGTCCTGGAGTGGCCTAGCCAGTCTCCAGATCTCAACCCCATAGAAAATCTTTGGAGGGAGTTGAAAGTCCGTGTTGCCCAGCGACAGCCCCAAAACATCACTGCTCTAGAGGAGATCTGCATGGAGGAATGGACCAAAATACCAGCAACAGTGTGTGAAAACCTTGTGAAGACTTACAGAAAACGTTTGACCTGTGTCATTGCCAACAAAGGGTATATAACAAAGTATTGAGAAACTTTTGTTATTGACCAAATACTTATTTTCCACCATAATTTGCAAATAAATTCATAAAAAATCCTACAATGTGATTTTCTGGATTTTTTTTCCTCATTTTGTCTGTCATAGTTGACGTATACCTATGATGAAAATTACAGGCCTCTCTCATCTTTTTAAGTGGGAGAACTTGCACAATTGGTGGCTGACTAAATACTTTTTTTCCCCCACTGTATATGCAACATGAGTTGAGACCTGATTTACAGTACACTAGAATAATGCCACTTCGGTCCAAAAGAGAGCTGAATCAATCAATCATAATGATTGGTTGATTGAAGAGAGAGCTGTCCAATGGGCTGGCTGCGTCAGGGGTCATAGGTCAGACAACATTGTTGCGTATGACCCCCAGCTGGTCTATCTGACCCTCAACCACGTCACGTCTCTGAAACACAAACACACACACACACACACAGGAACACTTCATTATGCCTTTCACAAGACAGGACCACCATTGCTTGACTTGGACTGAAATAGGTTCCGGAACTCATTTTGGGTGCTGGTACTGTTTATATTTAGGTGCAGGAGCTCCACAATACTTTTGAGCTAATATTCTATAAGAGGAACAGGAGCTCAAGCAGTAGAACATTTTAGGTGCCGGTACTCAGCTCCGGTGAGCTCCTGCCAAAGTCAAGCACTGAGGACCATAACAGACAACACTTGTAACTCTTGTGCCCAATCCCAAATTAACCCCTTGCCCCTACCCTGTGGAACTGGTGTGTACAGTACACATAAATAATTGGATTTGTGTAAACAATGTGGTGAAACTTGTATCCAGCCTATCAGATGGCAAGGTGGATCTACGACCATATTGATAATACCTATCCGATTTCTTTAGATCTATGTGAAGTTCCTTGCCCTATAGGGGCTGGGGGTGGATGTGGAGTTGAACATGACGGTCTCGTTCCAGGCTAACTACATTACAGACACATGTCAGATCTCACAACGCCTATGATATAGCAATCAGTCGATGAAGTGGCACACAACCATTGGTTGAGGCATTATAACATCTGCTATGTAGTTGGCCTGGAACACAACCAATGTCTTTATATAACTGTGTGATGCTGACCTTGAGGAAGACAGGTGGGTTCCTGAACACGCCCACACCTGGAGGAGTCCCCGTTGGAAACACGTCACCTGGAGACAACGTCATAAACCTAACATAGGAGAGAACACACACATGCAAATCTTTGTTATCATAGTTAGAGCAACTGTACACTACTCAATAGCTATCACAAATATTGTTTTTATCATGACAGTGTAACTTTGTTGTCATAACTGTTTATGACCATGTGACTGCTATCACTCACTTTGAGACCCAAGCAACCACTTGCTCAGTCTTAAAGATCAGTTGGTCAGTGTTGCTGTTCAGGACTGGAACATCGTTCACCAGACAGCGGATACCCAGATTATGGGGGTCTGATGACAAATGCAGAGATATAGTCTGTGTCCCAAATAGCACCCTATTTCCTTTGACCAGGGCCCATAGAAGTTAACTTTAAAGGTAATAGGGTGCCATTTGAAACGAAACCACATATGGGTCGTTCCACAAAATGAGTAGATTGCCCAGCTGAACGCCTCCATGCAGGAAGTGCTCCAAATGCTGCATAAACTGACCATCGCTCCGGTTCCACCTCAGGGAGCAGCGAGTGCACCCAGTCCACCTCCTCCCGTGCTATCACCAACGTCTGAGGGACCCCTCGCCCTGCTGGAGGGCTATGCTAGAGAGGCTAGTAGAGGCTTCCTGCTACAGGTTTCACTGTATCTGGCGCATCAGCGTGGGGCATCTCCATTGGACCAAGCCAGGATAGGGCTGGTGATTTCGCTACTGAAGGGAAAGGCGCTGGATTGGGCAATGGCTGTCTGGGAAGGAGGTGAGGCCGCGGCGCTTCCCTACTCCACCTTCCTCGATCGGTTCAGGGCGGTGTTCGATCATCCCACGGAGGGAAAGGACGGGGGTGAGCGTCTCCTCCGGCTACAACAGGGAGAGGAGACCGAGTTCGAGTATGCCCTGAGCTTTCGCACAGTGGTGGCGTCTTCCAACTGGAATGAGCGTGCTCTGCGCACAGCCTTCAGGAGAGGCTTACGGGAGGACATCACGACGGAACATGCATTTCGGGATGACAAGATGGACCTTGATACCCTCCTCGCCATGTCCGTTCATCTTGACAACATGTTGAGAGACCGACGGCGTTCCCAACACCACCCGGAGCCTCGACGCTTACCCCATCTGAGCTATGGAAGCCACCCTGCCTCCGAGTCCTCACCCATGAAGGTGGGCAGTATCCCCTACACCACCACGGACCACAGATCTCCTGGCGGCTCCCTATCTAGGCGGTATGACTCCCGTCGGCGTTCCGTTCAGTGTTCCATCATCACCTGTCACCAAACCATTGTTTTTTGTTCCCCTAACGGTGAATGGTTCTTCCTTCTCTTCGCTTTCCACGGCAATGATAGATTCCGGATCAGCGGGGAACCTTATCGATAGGGAGCTGGTCTCTGAATGGGGGTTGCCCACCGTACCACTGCCTTCTCCGTTACATGTCACCTCGCTGGACAATAAACTACTTGGATCAGGCACCATTACGCACGTCACTCTCCCCATCACCATCACCATTCCCACACTACCGGAGCACCACAAGGAGCTGTCCTTCCACATTGTCACGTCACCCCTTCACCGGATCGTCTTGGGATTGCCCTGGCTCAGACTACACAACCCCACCATCAATTGGATCACCAAGAGGATCACAGCCTGGTCCCCATCATGCCGGAGGACCTGCCTGCCGGTGGTTTGTTGTTCCACGTCAGTGTAGATTCCGGAGTCCGCCCTCCAGCCCAACATTCCACGTGTGTACGCAGATCTCTCCGATGTCTTCTCTGCCTCCAAGGCTAAATGTCTCCCTCCTTACAGGCCCTGGGACTGTGCCATTGACCTGCTGGAGGGACAACACCCCCTGAAGAGTCACATTTACTCCATTTCCATAGCGGAGACTGAGGCCATGGAGAGAAGTTTGTGGTGGAGACCCTAAAACAGGGGTTCATCAGACGCTCTACCTCTCCTGCCTCCGGAGGACTGAGGCCGTGCATTGACTACCAGGGGTTGAACGCAGTCACCACCAAGTACCAGTACCCCCTCCCTCTGGTTCCGTCGGCCATCGAGCAGCTACGAGGGGCCCGGTACTTTACCAAGTTAAACCTGAGGAGTGCCTACAACCTGATCCGAATCCAGGAAGGAGACGAGTGGAAGACGGCATTCAGCACTACCTCAGGCCACTATGAATACTGCGTCATGCCCTACGGCCTCGCCAACGCACCTTCCGTGTTCCAGTCCTTCGTCAATGACATGTTCCAAGAAATGCTGATTAGACAGGTGGTGGTGTACATCGACGATATCCTGATCTACTCGGCTACGTTCGAGGAGCACGTCAGGAACGTCCGAGCGGTCCTACTCCGCCTCCGGGAACACAGCCTGTTGGTGAAGGGAGAGAAATGTGAATTCCACCAACAGGCCATCTCCTTCCTGGGATACAGGATCAGTCCTCAGGGGGTGTTCATGGAAATAGCGAAGACGGACGCCGTCAGGTCATGGCCAGTCCCCACCACCATCAAGGGCCTACAGAGCTTCCTGGGCTTCACAAATTTCTACCGGCGTTTCATCAGGTCCTTCAGCTCCATAGCCGCCCCGCTCACCTCTCTCCTTAAGGGTGGGTCTCAGAAGCTGGCCTGGAACCCTGAGGCTGACGGTGCCTTCAAGAGGCTGAAGCGGAGGTTCACCACAGCGCCCCTCCTAAAACACCCAGATCCAGCTCGCCCTTTCATCCTGGAGGTGGACGCATCTGAGGAGGGCATGGGTGGGGTCCTCTCCCAGCGGCAAGGTAAGCCAGGGAAAATGTATCCCTGTGCCTTTTTCTCGAAAAAGCTTACTCCCGCAGAGAGGAACTATGGAGTTGGAGACAGGGAGTTGTTGGCGGTGGTCCTCGCTCTGGAGGAACGCAGTCCATCCATTCCGGATTCTCACTGACCACCAGAATTTGGAGCACATACGGGCAACGAAACGGATGAACTCCCGTAAAGCCAGGTGGGCCCAATTTCTTACTCGCTTTCAGTTTATTCTGTCCTACCGCCCAGGATCCCAGAATGTGAAAGCCGACGCCCTCTCCAGGATGCACCATACCGGAGGGGGGGTCCTATCCTGCCTCCGTCTCTCATCGTGGCACCTGTCATTTGGGATGTGGACGAAGACATCCGCCTGGCGACTCAGGAGGACCCAGCGCCTGCCAACGCCCCTCCGGGGCGCGTGTATGTACCCACCAGGGTCCGTGACTGCCTGCTGGCCTGGCCGCACACCACCCTTACGGCAGGGCACTCGGGTATTACGTGCACCCTACATTCTCTCTCACAAAAATACTGGTGGCCCACCTTGGCTACTGATGTCTTCTCCTGTTCCGTATGTGCCCAAACGAAGACACCTCGGAATGCCCCGGCAGGCAAAATAGTTCCTCTCCCAGTGCCTCAGCGACCTTGGTCACACCTGTCCATTGACTTTGTCACCGACCTCCCACGTTCTGACGGCTTCACCACAGTCCTGGTGGTCGTAGATCGGTTCTCCAAATCATGTCATTTTCTGCCACTAACTGGTCTTCCTTCTGCTCTCCAGGTCGCTGAGGTCCGCATTATGGACTTCCGGAGGGCATCGTCTCAGACCGTGGCCCCCAATTCACCTCCCGAGTGTGGAAGGCTTTCCTGGAGAAGATCGGGGCCACGGCCAGCCTCACATCCGGGTATAGGCCTCAGTCGAATGGGCAGGTGGAGTGCATGAACCAGGAGCTGGGGAGGTTTCTTTGTTGCCACTGTCAGGACCGGCAGGGTGAGTGGGCGAGGTTTCTTCCCTGGGCAGAACATGCCCAGAACTCCCTTGTTCACTCCTCCACGGGGCTCACTCCCTTCGAGTGCGTCCTGGGGCCAACCGGCCCTGGCCCCTTGGACACCCAACCAGACAGATGCGCCCGCTGTCGACGAGTGGTTCCACAGGTCCGGACTGGTCTGGGACGCTGTCCATCTCTAGAGGGCCATTTGTCGTGAGGCCACGCAGTCATGGGTATACATGGAGTACAGGAGGGGACTGAGGACGCACACTTGTGGGGCCCCCATGTTGCGAATCAGTGTCGGAGGTAATTTTGCCTACCTTCACCACCTGAAGGCGGCCGTCAGGAAGTCCAGGACTCAGCTGCATAGGGAGGAGTTCAGTCCTAGGGCCGTGAGCTTTGAGGTGAACTTAGAGGGCACTATGGTATTGAAGGCCGAGCTGTATTCGATGAACAGCATCCTCACATATGCATTCCTTTTGTCCAGGTGGGTGAGGTCAGTGTGCAGTTGTAATGGCAATTGCGACGTCCATGGAGCTGTCAGGACGGTAGGCGAATTGGAGAGGGTTGAGTGTGTCGGGGAGGGGAGGGAGGAGGTGATGTGGTCTTTGACTAGCCCCTCGAAGCACTTCATGATGACAGAAGTCAGTGTAACGGGTCGTTAGTTATTCAGTTCAGTTACTTTCCGGTAGGCGAATTGGAGAGGGTTGAGTGTGTCGGGGAGGGGAGGGAGGAGGTGATGTGGTCTTTGACTAGCCCCTCGAAGCACTTCATGATGACAGAAGTGAGTGTAACGGGTCGTTAGTTATTCAGTTCAGTTACTTTCCCTTTCTTGGGCACGGGGATGATAGTGGACATCTTGAAGCATTTGGGGATAGCGGCCTGAGCTAGAGAGATATTGAACGTTTCAGAATACACAACAGCCAGCTGGTCTGGGACGGCAGCCTTGCGAGGGTTAACATATTTGAATGACTTACATACCTCCTCTGTGGAGACCGTAAGTACATAGCGCTCGTTGTTCAGGGGCTCGTCGTTGTGCTCAAAGCATGAGAAAAAGGTGTTTACCTCGTCCAGTAGGGCTGCGTTGGTGTCCGCGACGTGACTGAATTGCCCGCTGAATTAGGTGAAATAAAAAAAGAACACTTCTCAAAAGGCACCGAATTGGTGGAACGGCCCATATACATTGTAGCAACCACTCTGCCAAAGTAAGAACATTTTGCACATTTTGTCTCATCATGTTTCTCCCTCCCTCCCTGCCTCTCTCACCCTTCACAGCAGAGGTGGTCACTAAGGCGGGGCCGAGAGGACAGAAGCTGTCAAAGGTTTTTCCCAGCAGCCACTGCTTCCCGTTGCGTTTCATCTGCCAATCACGTGCGCTGACATCGTTGGCCACGGTGAAACCTGCCACCTAGGACATAGCATCCTCTTCCTGACAGAAATATAGAATGGTGAGTGGGTGAGTCTGTCATGAAACCCCTGTGTCTGTCAAGTTGTGTTCAGTCAGACTCACCTTAATGTGTTTCCCCTTTCGTCCAATCACAAAGGCTAGCTCCACCTACCAGTCCACCTCCTCCAATCAGAGAGAAGCAGAGAAGAGAATCCATCGACAAAGTTGCAAGATCTTGCTGAAGATGATTGGTTCTTTAGGGATAAGGGCATCCTGCTCCAGGCAGTGGTCCCGGTAGTTCATCCCCACACACACCACCTTCTCTGGTGCTAGGACTGGGGACAGCAGCCTCACCTCCACACGGGGAACCACACACTGAGCAGGACTAGCCTCCAGTGCTCTGAGAGAGAGAGAGAAATAAAAAAAGAGTATGTGCTCTGGATGGAAATGATGGCTACTGACAGCCAGGCACCAATAAAGTATGTGTGTGTTACCTCTGTGCACACTCCATGCCCTTCTCTCCCAGCTCCAGCAGCTCTTTCATGGTTGTGGGCATCGAAGGGTCAAAGGCCTTAAGGTCAACGACCCCTAGCCCCTCCCCCTGCTCCACACCAACCCTGACCCTTCCCTCATCGCCTTTAAGGCAGAACTGTACCAATCGCATCGCAGCGCCACTCACTGCCCGCCTTCCTGGGATAGCAGACAGCCTATCAGAGAAGCTCCTCGAGATGAGAGACAAGGAACAAAGAGGAAGTCTCATCTACTGAGAACAGAGAGCAGGGAAATTACTGAGAGAGAGAGACAGAGAGAAAAACGTCAAGAGTAAAAGAACAAAAGGAGAGACAAAGTGAAGGGGAGGTGGGTTGAATTTATAATTATTTTAGACAACAAGATGTGCTAAGAATGGTCCATTCCCCAAAACAAATCTAGTATTGAACAATTGCTGTAGATAATCTCAAAGTACAGTTTACTGCTAATATTGTAATGCATTGTGTGCACTGTGCAGTACCAACAAAGTGACTCACTGAGTTCAGAGCTCTAGCTAGCCAAGGAATTCCAAAAGCATCTAGCTACCTGATATTGCAGATAATAAACGCCTCAGTTTTCTGCCAACTCAATGGAAATTATTTTATTAGGTGTACTTGCTCAAAGCAAGAACAACTTTTGAAATCTGAAATAATTTGTATTATTATTTCCCTTCCGCTGGCACTTGTCGCACCAAAACCAAACAAGCTACCAACACCAAAACAACTTTTAAATGTGCTGACTGTCTTCAGGTTGCTTGAAAATAATGTTTTGATTAGATCCAAGACATTCATAGAAAGTTGAAGCTCATTTACCGCATTTCTATACAATTTAAAAACAAGCAAAAATGACCCCAGCCATTATCACTTTGGTTGCTGTAGCAGAGAACATTTGGCAATTTTATGAAAAATGTCACGCAATTCAACTCATTTTGCCATGGGTCAGAGACAAAATACCAGTTTTACAGCAAATTACCTGCAATTCTACACATTTCGCCATGGGGTGGAGAGAAATTTTTGCAGTTTTAAATCTAATTTCCCGCAATTCTACACATTTTGCCATGACTTATGCCATGTTAATATGATACAGTGCCTTCAGAAAGTATTCATACCCCTTGACTTATTCCACATTTTGTTGTGTTACATCCTGAATTCAAAATTGATTAAATAGATATTTTCCCTCACCCATCTACATACAATACCCCATAATGACACATTTTGCAAATGTAATGAAAATGAAATATCTCATTTACAAAAGTATTCACACCCCTGAGCAATCAATACATGTTAGAACCACCTTTGGTAGCGATTACAGCAGTGAGTCTTTCTGGGTAAGTCTCTAAGTGCTTTGCACACCTGGATTGTACAATATTTGCACATTATTAAGTCTTGCCATAGATTTTCAAGCCAATTTAAGTCAAAACTGTAACTAGGCCACTAAGGAACATTCAATGTCGTCTTGGTAAGCAACCAGTGTATATTTGGCCTTGTTTGTGTTTTAGGTTATTGTCCTGCTGAAAGGTGAATTTGTCTCCCAGTGTCTGTTGGAAAGCAGACTGAACCAGGTTTTCCTCTAGGATTTTGCCTGTGCTTAACTCTATTCCGTTTCTTTTTATCCTAAAAAAACTCCAGATGACAAGCATACCCATAATTTTTTTTATTTAACCCTTATTTGGATGCAGCCACCACCATGCTTGAAAATATGAAGAGTGGTACTCAGTGATGTGTTGTGTTGGATTTGCCCCAAACATAATGCCACATTTATTTGTTTTTTTATTTACATTTGAAAAGATTACAGAGGTCCGGCCCTCGGTGTCCTCATACTGTACGTAGCTACGGCCCTGACCACTACTACTACTTCTATTTCAAAACCATAAATACTTGAAGTCTAGCAAGCACACACATTTTCTTTAGGAAATGTCATTTTCTATGGTGAAGTGTCACATACTAAAATATTTTATAGAATAGGCCCAATAAGATACGGCTTTATCAATAATACTGTATGTCTCTTTGGTTTGCATGACTGATGGGTGTCAGGCACAGGAGGCTGCTGAGGGGAGGACGGCTCATAATAATGGCCGGAACGGAGCGAATGGAATGGCCATTACTAGCCATTACCACGAGCCCGTCCTCCCCAATTAAGGTGCCACCAACCTCCTATGGTGTCAGGAGGACTTTTAATTCAGCCAGGCAATGTTCCCTTGAGATGAAAGGGGCATAATTACTGCCCACAGAAGCCGTGGGGTGACGTGACGGAAAGCGAAAGATGTTGTGATTCTTTACATTTCTATGTGGTGAGGTGGATAGCATTATGGCTGAGATTCCTTGGCTTAGGCAACTTTCAACTTGAAAGCAAACAAACCTCATTAAACAGAAACCAAACTGAACTTGAGGTGTAAACTCCAAATGCATTGGAGTAGATTCATTTCACAGAAATGGAAAGTGCAGCTATTTCAGTGATTTTGTGAATCCTTGAACAACAACTTCCTCATCCAAAATGAGTGCATGAATTGTCAATTACCAATTATGTTGTCAAAGACTAAAAAGAGTTTCCTGGAGTTGCTGATCATCTTTAGCTATTATTAGCTCATGTTCAGCTCTTCCTTTTAAGTGTACAGTATTTAAGATGGGTGGGCCAAGTTAAGTGGTTCTCAGATTACTTCTTTAATCTTCTCAACTTTGTGAAATATGCTTCTCCTGGATGTTCAGGTTTGACATGATGTCCATGTTTTGTCTTTATTTTCAACGACCTTTTCAACTGCCAGTGTCATTATCATGCCAACATTTGGGATGTTACCCTCAATCATTCACTCATTTTCACCCATTGTCTCATCTCGCCGCCCTACTTTACCTGTCCAACACCAAACACCCATCCACCAGTAATCAAACGCGGACTGGGTGTGATTATTACATACTCTACCGCTTGATCAAAACGCTCTCTTATAAATACAGACTGAAAACACAGCTTATGTACAGTCCGTCAACCTCCAACACCAGGGGAGACTTGCTTTATGTGAAAATGGCTGTTCTTATGCAATTCTTCTTTATATGCAGAAACTAACTTTGATATTTACAAGGATAAGAAGATACCATATTTTGATTTGATATACTAATTATTAGGTGTGCTTGACAAAAGCAAGAACAACTTTAGGAATCCGACATAGTCTACAGTACTTCTTATTAATGTGCGTGCTGAAACGTATTCTTATTATGTGCTTTCCTCCTTCACCTACTATAGCACAAAAACCGTAAAAACTCCCAACACCAAAACAACTTAAATGTGCAGACTGGCACTGGGGTACTGTTGATGAAAAAAACATGTTTTAATCCCAGTGCATTTCAATGGACATAGGTTTGAATGGGAAATATATTCTGCCACCTGTAGCGCCAAAACTGTAAAAGCAACCAAAAGGCACTCTTTTCGTGGAACGACCCAAAAATAATCATTTGGTTGTGTTTATGAAGGTCTTAGATAACATTAGAATATGAAAATATATATATTAAATAAATAAATCCATTATTATTTATTTACACTGAACAAAAATATAAAAACACAACATGTAAAGTGTTGGTCCCATGTTTACAGAAATTGTCCATAAGCACAAAAAGCTTTAAAATGTTGTGCACAAATATGTTTACATCCCTGTTAGTGAGCATTTCTCCTTTGCCAAGATAATCCACCCACCGGACAGGTGTGGCATATCAAGAAACTGATTAAACAGCATGGTCATTATACAGGTGCACCTTGTGCTGGGGACATTAGACCCCTTTCTGTGTTTGCAAACATTACTGCACGAGGGCGATGCGCACAAGTTGGTGACAGAACAAGGGGGAGTTCTTATAGAACGCCAGCAAAAAAAGCCTCTATTTAAATGTTGTTTATGACTGCATTTCACTACTTTTGGATTATACTTGGATTTTAAGGCTCGTATGAATGTTCTGCTTAATATAATGTTTGTGCCATCATCACAAATCAACTGCTTAAAAAAACACTTCAACTTGAACCAGTAAAATTGCTTTTTTTGCTACAGCCTATATCAATGAGCGTTAGCATTCTAGCTAACAACTGCTACATCCAAAATAGTTATTTTGCAAAGATCACAACCAACTAATAAAATTAGCAAGAATCAAAACATAATTGTAAGCGTATGAGAAAACCAATAAGTTATTTTGTTTAGAAGTAATAAAAACGTAAATCTAGGCTATGTTGAATGGGCGCCGATGGCGTGACGTCAGTGTGTGGGGGACTGGAAAAGGGTCTATAAAAGGCCACTCTAAAATGTGACGTTTTGTCACACAACACAATGCCACAGATATCTCAAGTTTTAAGGGACTGTGCCATTGGCATGCTGACTGCAGGAATGTCCATCAGAGCTGTTGCCAGATAATTTAATGTGCAACGTCGTTTTAGAGAATTTGGCAGTACATCCAACCGGCTTCACAACCGCAGACCACGTATAAGCACGCCAGCCCAGGACCTCCACATCCGGCTTCTTCACCTGTGGGATCGTCTGATGCCAGCCACCCGCACAGCTGATGAAACTGTGGGTTTGCACAACCAAAGAATTTCTGCACAAACTGTCAGAAACAGTCTCAGGGAAGCTCATCTGCGTGATCGCCGTCCTCACCAGGGTATTGTCCTGACCGCAGTTGGGCATCGTAACCGACTTAATTCGGCAAATTCTCACCTTGGATGGCCACTGGCACACTGGAGAAGTGTGCTATTCACAGATGGTTTCAACTGTACTGGGCAGATGGCAGACAGCATGTATGGCGTCGTGTGGGCGAGCGGTTTGCTGATGTCAAAGTTGGTGGTGGTGGGGTTATGGTATGGGCAGGCATAAGCTACGGACAGTGAACACAATTGCATTTTATCGATGGCAATTTGAATGACCAGAGATAACGTGACGAGATCCTGAGGCCCATTGTCGTGCCATTCATCCGCCGCCATCACCTCATGTTTCAGCATGATAATGCACGGCCCCATGTCGCAAGGGTCTGTACACATTTTCTGGAAGCTGAAAATGTCCCAGTTCTTCCATGGCCTGCATACGCACCAGACATGCCACCCATTGAGCATGTTTGGGAAGCTCTGGATCGACGTGTACGACAGCATGTTCCAGTTCCCGCCAATATTCATCAACTTCGTACAGCCATTGAAGACGATTGGGACAACATTCCACAGGCCACAATCAACAGCCTGATCAACTCTATGCGAAGGAGATGTGTCTGCTGCATGAGACAAATGGTGGTAACACCAGATACTGACTGATTTTTTTATCCACGCCCATGTAAAGTATATATATTTTTTGGTATCTGTGACCAACAGATGCATATCTGTATTCACAGTCGTGAAATCCATAGATTAGGGCCTAATGAATTTATTTCAATTGTCTGATTTCCTTATATGAACTGTAACTCAGTAAAATCTTAGAAATTGTTGCA